TAAGCCCAGCAGTGTTTATGCGGATGAGTGCGTGTTGGCGCTGATTGTGTCCTCTTCACATCCGTTGCTCCACTCCTCCAGCACCTGACTGCCAACACTCACTTCAGTCCCTAATATGAAGACATGTTGTCATGGATCCGTGTCAATATCGGGATTCTGATAACACCTGGTTTGGCCTATACATCCTTTAACATTCCCAGTTATTTAAGCCTCTAAATGTGTGTGTTGTGTGCCGTTATAACTGATCTTCAGGCAGTTTCAGGGGATTTATGCAACACGTTGGCCCCCCCTTTTTTTGTAGGGAAAGTGTTGGATATCTCAGCTCTGGAAGGGTCTAGACTAGAGCCTCCATTTTTGCACTCAGGTCTAAGTCTTGTGGCCCTCTATCAGAATCCAGAGTTTTGAGAAGATAAGAGAAACTAAAAATTTCGATCTCAAAACCTTTCGAAGGTCAAAACTCTGGATTCTGATAGAGGGCCATGAGACTTAGACCTGAATGCAAAAATGGAGGCTCTAGACCCTTCCAGAGCTGAGATATTGAGATCCCACGTAGCATTAATGCCATCATAAATATCTCAATATCTCAGCTCTGGAAGGGTCTAGAGCCTCCATTTTTGCACTCAGGTCTAAGTCTCATGGCCCTCTATCAGAATCCAGAGTTTTGAGAAGATTGGAGAAACTTAATTTCTCGCCCCGAAAAAAAAAAAAACGAAAGGGGTACCACTGTCGTTTTTTTTTTTTCGGGTCGAAATTTTGAGTTTTTCTGATCTTCTCGAAACTCTGGATTCTGATAGAGGGCCACAAGACTTAGACCTGAGTGCCAAAATGGAGGCTCTAGACCCTTCCAGAGCTTTTTTTTTGTTTGTTTTTTTGTTTCTCTGATCTTCTCAAAACTCTGGATTCTGATAGATGGCCATGAGACTTAGACCTTTTTTCAGACTAGCTAGAGTTACTGGAAATTGAAATACAGTGACTTGCTGGCAACTGTCCTACCAGTACTGTAAAAATACAAGAAAACAGAGGATGCACACAGGAAATGACTAACATGAATGCATTGATTGATTCCTAGGTTTATTTTGTTATGAATAAAGAAATGTGCAATATAAAGTTAAAACCTTACGATTAAAGTTGTAATGTTATAATGTTCAAGTATTTGTTCTAAAAAAAGAAAGATGCACACAGAAAATGACTCTAATATGACCAGATTGATTGATTCGAATATATTTAGTTTGTTACAAACAATGTGCAATGTGTAAAACAAAAATTATAGTTGAAATGGTATACTGATGGAATTTTTTTGACCTTGAGAAAAATCTTAAAGTATAGACCAACAAATCTTGTGTTTATTAATTTATTTCATGTTGGTACATTTTCAGGAAGTACACCTGTTTTGACCTGATGTCCATTGGAATGGACAAAAAAAGAATCACAACGAAAGCAATCATATAAATTTTTTTTTCATTTGTTTTCATTTATAGAAACCTCATGAGCTGGGAAAATGTACTTGAAACATAATTCAGGTCTGAGGGGGTTAACAATGTTGCATTAGTTACCATGGGCTAACAATAAACAATATTTCGTATTTATTAACCTTAATGTTCATTTCAACATTAACTATAATAAATTATTAAAATGGCATTAACTAATCTTAACAAATACAGCATTTGATTTTAATAATGCACTGTGAACTAACATGAACAATGATCAACATTTTTTTACTAAGGCATAATAACAAGGATCAGTAAATGCTTTAAAAATATTTTTCTCATAAATTATTGCGACCTTCTTGTAAAGCGTTACCTACATTTTTAAATAATTTTCCAATAAATGAATTTTTTCATTTATTCATTTTTTTCCAATAAATGATTTTTTTTCTCATAAAAATAAAGAACAAAATACTTCCTCCTTTTTGCCATCATATTTATTCTGTTCTATTCTATACTTCAGTCAGATATTTATTATATATAATACTATAATATTATAATATATTAAATTAAATAATTTAATAAATAAATAATATATTAAATTAAAAAATAAAATAATTAAAAGTTTATAATACTTTAAATGTGAAAACTTTTTTTAAAACTTTTTAATCAGGTCTGATGGGGGAATAGGGTCAGCAGATTATACAAGACTTAAACATCACGTTTACTGGTTTCATTCATTCATAATGAATATTTATTTATCACTTTTAAATAATATATTTTATTAATAAATAAAAATGACTAGATTTAAATGTATTCATAAAATGTATTGATAAAGTAAATATCTATTAAGTTTTGTGATTTTATTTTTGTTTTATGAATAAATGTAATTATTACATTTAAATGTATTTATAAAATAAATATTTATTTATACGTTTAATTATTAATTTACTTATTTAGTGTTTCAAATAATGAACAACAACAATTTTTCTTTCCCCATCATATCTGGTAATTTCTCTAAATAATCTACATTTAAATTATCATTAAATGTTTATTTTATAAATCAATTCTATCAATAAATTTAATTATTGTATTGTTTCAAATACTTATAAATTAATTAGATACAAAAAAATATATATATATAAATACACAAGTTAGATACATTTTCCTGAGCTGCTACCCCAGGAATTTTTCTCTCTATACATAATTGAGATAAATCCATTTTTAAAATTCTTTTTATAAATTCTTTGTTTTAATTAAATTAAAAAATAGAGTGATTTGTTTTGTTCTGCAGGTATGATGAGCAGAGGAACAGTTGAAGATGTCGTCTGGAAAGACAGCAGGGGTGAACGTACTGTACAGATTTCACACTGGGGACTCGGAGCTGGCTGAGGTTAAAGGTCAAGATTTAGGGGCAAAAGCCCTAATGACAGAAAAACTGCTTCCTACCAGACGGCTCTTTGATGAAACACAAAGACAGTGTTGTCCTTCAGAGGCACACAGCTGTGTCAAGCCACAAGGTGGGTCAGGAGAGATCCGCCAACAATGTGAAAGCCTGCTTTACGTCATCTCATTTAAACTGTTACACAAAAACAAACAAACATGCAGTGTTTTCCCTGACTATACAAAACGACACAATACAACTTTCATAAAAGCTTTATTTAAGTGTGAAAAGTTAAATATACACAACCTTATTGTAATATAGTAATAAAAACATTTCCATTTTTTGAATAATAAGGGTAAATATTAGATTAAATAAGGTTGTTTAATGGCTCTATTTTAATATTTGCACTAAATGGTTACAAAATCTCATTGTATGTTTGTTGAAACCGGTTTGAACCATTATTTGTAGATGTACTTCAAACTACTGTGGGTTTTTATCTCAGTGTCCAGGTTTCTGTCTTTTCTGTAAAATATTATCTAGCAGACTTTTAATGCAAAATCAAAGAGCTATTACAATACAAACTAAGTGTATAATATTGCTGTAAGAATCACATTGTTCAGTTTACACGTGTAATATATATAATCGGTCTTGGTTTCTTCTGAAATAAGGTTCTCTAATATTCAGCTGCTGCTGCTGCCTGTAAAGTGGCCCATTGAATGTGCTTTCATTTAATAGACTCCTATGTGCAAATATTTATACAAGGCCACACTTGAAAAACCTGAACTTTCAAACTGCACACATATACTACATGCATGTCTTTTCATGATATTTAAGGAAATAAAGGGTTATATTAAATACCTGCTGTGATTTACTGTTGTGATTCACTATTAATTGTAACAAGGAAATAGTGGTTTGGAAATCTTTTATTTTATTTTTTTTGAGTCGCTATGGAAATTATTGCGCCTTTCAGGAAACCGGGACTGGCCGTGAGAGGGAGTGAGGTAGCTGAGAGGTGAAACATTTTTCTTTATGCATTGAAATCACAAACAGGAACAGAGAGAGTGCTGGAAGGTTAAAGAACAAGATTCCTGTTGTAACGCTTTATGTGCCAGATGTTATTAACCAGTCAATAATGTTTAGTAGAAAGGTCATGTTTTGGATTACTCCAAGCAAATAATTCACTTCAATGAATGAACTAAAGAAATCTTCTCGTGTTGCCACAAAAAAGTATCTGTCATATGAATACCTCACATTCAAACTATTTTCATTTATATTTTTATAGCCAAAAAAAAGAAGATATTCATGAATATAAAAATCACAAATATTTTTTTTCATTCTGTGTGATAGAACTGCAATCATGATTTAAAATAAGCAGTTTTTAAAAAATGACTTGACTTGAAATGAGTGCTGTGAAACCTTATGTATCAATTGACCATCTTAGGATTTATTTTTTGTCCCATGTCAAGAATCTGTGTTATCTATTTCAATTTTGTATAAATTCAATAAAATGGTGAAAATGGGACAATGTTCTGAATGAGGCATGTTTACCAAGGGAAATATCTCATCAATAAAAGGTTGGCACCAATCAGTCCATGACAGCCTATTTTACAGTTTTTCAAGCCATTGTTAGAAAAGGAAATTAAAATGCAATGTGGTCTGTACTTCGGGCCAAAGGTCCATTGTTTGATTTTTGTAGGCGATCTTTCACACAGGCTCCTTTACTAATGAAACTTATAGTAGATGTTAAAACGTGCTTTAGGGATCAGCTTTGATTTCTTCACCCATAAATTTAAGTTTGAACCCACCAAGGAACAACCCTGTGTAGTATTAAGAAAATCCTTTTACAATCCATTGAGCCTTTAACTGTAAGTGATCGTGGTTGCCTTTTTGCAGCCATGGACATGTTTAAAGTTTACAGTTAAATTGAAAGAACAGAACTTATCTGATAAATTATCTGAGCAGAGTATAGTTGCAAATGAACAAATGTGGCGCTAAATGTAAAATTGGATTTTCTAGACACAAAGCAAAGATCAAATTGAAATGGTACAATTATTTACAGTAGTTAAAAACAAAAATCACTTCCTTAAATGTTAATCCACCTCGCTCAGAGCATTTTTTAAAAAACAACAAATTTAAACGGTAGAATTATTATTGCTATTATGCGTGTTTAAAAAAAACAAACACTCAACAAGGTCTTTGTGCAACTGTATTGTTACATATCAAAGCACAATGAAAGGATGCATTGACACCATATCAGACAGAACACTATTGCTGCTGCCATTTGATCACAATCAATCAGCTGGACTAAAACTAAAAGATATTTATAAAAAAATACAATAAAAAAGGAAAGGAAAAGTATCAAGGACAATAAAGGCATAATGAGTGCTTTGCACAAACATCATGGCTTTCAAACAGTCACACGACACAAACAAAACCAAGAAGGTCTGCAAGCAACATGCACAAGTTGAGGTCTTTGGCTGAGATGCAAAAATCTGCATGTTCCTCTACACTTTCTAAGAATGAAATGCATTTCTAGAGCGCCACCGGGCAGCTCCACACTAAAAATACAGCAAAACATTGGATTTCTAAAGCAGCATGCACATTCTGAAAGCTTTCGCTACGCACAGATTTTACTATAGCATTTTCAAAACAAATTGCAGCAAACACTAAAAGTAAATTACAGTCTGGGATCTCGCAAAGAAATGCATTTCAAATAAAACATCACAATCACAAGCAAAAATATCGTGTTTAACATTTCAGCCCAACATTGTGCTACACTGAGCGGTATTCAAAGCGTGTGTGTAAATCAGTGATTTATTCATGGTGCTGTGTGAGGACTGGAAACAGAGAGGGTGTGTTTAAGCTTGTGTGAGGTGGAGCTTGATGTGTGAAAGTGAGAGTACATGTGATGTTTAAATGACAAAGGGCAGTGGCAGGAATCCTCCGTTCAAAGTCTCAACTCAGATAATCAGCTAATGGCCTTTTACTAATACAGAGATCACAGGAATAACTCGCCTAAAAAAGAAAAGAAAAAGATTTACTCGCACTTCCATCATTCATGAGAAAGGATTTGTTTTTTTCCTCCAAAAACAAAACAAATATGGTGTACAAACCCAATGTAATACTCCAAGCCATATGACCCCAAATTATTTACTCAATATTCCTGAAAACAGTAATTATCAGTTTGAAGGGATAGTTTACCTAAAAACAAAAATTCTATAATTTACTGACCCTTAAGTTGCTCCAAACCTGTCTTACAAATGTAGATATTTTCAAGAATATAGGTAACCAAACAGTCGATGGGCACCATTGACTTGGAACATGGAAGTCAATGGGGTACATCAACTGTTTGGTTAAATATTCTTTAAAATATATTTAGTGTTCAACAAAAGAAATAAACTGAAACAGTTTTGGTACAACTTGAGGGAATGTAAATGATGACAAATAGTTTTTTTTGGTGATTTATCCCTTTAACAGCTCACTTGAGGTGACTATTATTAGCGAATGATGAGATAAATTTGATCCGTTCATCTCATAAAGCAAATGTATAACCTCAGAGAAGTCGGAATATAGGTCATTAAGACTAACAACCCAGTCATATTGGCCTTTGTAAAATGCAATACCAGACTTGCAGGGAAAAAAAAAAAAATCCATATTTTCATTATATATCCATCTACTATACACATACAAGAAGCGCTTTTTTTACCATACACTAATCAGCAACAATTTGTGCAACTGTTAATGACAAGCAGCTGGAGACACTGTAAAGGTATAGATGCACATGTATTCCCATTACGAAACAAAAGCAAACATACATTTGCGCACATTCTTATCAATGACAGACTATGACAAACATGCCAGTTACAACTTTGGGAAGGCAGTCAAATAGTCCCCTGTGTCAAAGCGATAAGAGCCTTTCCTCTTCCACTGCAAGCACAGCCAGTGTCTCAAATGCACACGTCACACATTCACACTCTTTGTCAGGCGCTCTCATTCAATCCGGTCCAAATTTAATAACAAATGTCTCTTCTGAAACATTCCAGAGAATCCAAAGCATAAAAAACCTGCAGTCCATGTTTGTAGCTGCAGCAATCGGAGAGATGAAAATCTGCTCTGTATCTCCTCATAGTTGGTTCAGTGCTGCTAGCTGGACAGGTTCTGCTGAGGACACTTTAAGGAGCTTGGGGTTCAAAAAAAACAAAAAACAAACAAAAAAACACCCCTGGGGAACAGATGAGGGGCAATGGTTTAAATTTAGTGAACACGAGAGTATAGAGAGGATGAGGAAGGTGTGCGTGTTCATACTCACAGGTCAAAAGGCTATAACAAGCTGTTTCGTCCATTAGCGTGAGGCACTTTGGATCTCATTTGTTGCTGCATCGGCCCAGACTGCAAGAGGAAGTGACACAATCAGGTTAACGGCATGGAAAACATGCATAATTATTAACGTAAAATCCACAATCAGAAGTTCACTTTATACTACTGAAAGTATAGTTGTGTTTGTTAAGTCATTTTACCATTGAAAAAGTCATAAATTACCATTTGATTCTTCATGAGGTTTCTTTGTTTATCAAATTTTAAACGCCATGTTAGGATTGAAGTTATATACACATGGCAAACAAGGTCAATATCACAATCCATACAATTTTAAACATTTCAACTTGACATAAGTTAGAAAATCTAAAATACATTCTGGTGGTGATTCATTCGGAAATATTCCATGTAAACGTGTCATAAAAACATTTTCTAGGAGTATAATAAAAATGACAGTTCAACAGATTTTAAAACTGTCTGATGTACTAAGAAAATACAGTAACTTTCAGAATGCAAAACCTTCTGTGTAAAATAAAGAGTCCTTTCAAAGGATCCCAACATGAAAGGGCCATATTATGTTGTTTTAAAGGCTCCTAATTTTGTTTTGGAGGTCAATAATTATCCCAATATGCATTCAATGTCAAAAAAGAAAGTTTTTTCATAATATAGATTAGGGCTGGGTAATAAATATCGATTTCTCGATATTAATCGATTCTCATTTTTACGAATCGATATCGATTCTTAAACCTCAAGAATCGATTAGTCATCCTGTTTCATTTGAATGAATGGATCATTGTATCGTGGCTGCGCGCATTCAAAAAAAAAAAATAAATAAATCAATAAATAAATAATCGCAATAATCTTTGTCCTTTGTTACTATTGATATGAAACAAAGTCTCAGTTTTCAAATTACGTCCATTTTCTTTAGAAATTCAAAATCATAAATAACGTTTTGGCACTGTGGCGATTGCTCTGGCGCAGCTCAAGAGAAGCAGCAGCACTGATCGGTCTTCCGGCTTAATAATACCAGTCACAGCATGAAATAAACATGAATGAGCATCTGAAAGTGTGTTAAAAGATAGAGTACAACTTATCGAAATCCGTATCATGTCACATTGATTCGCTCAATCAGCGTTTCAACTGTGGAAAGACGTCAGTTGAACAGCTCGTTAGTCAGCTAGACAAAAAAAACTCCAGAGAGGAGCATTTTGCTAAATATATACACCATACATATGCATTATAATCTTAATGTTCTTCAATATTTAATGCATATTTGAATAAATCTGGCAAGTTTTTATGTCAGCCACCATTTAAATGTTTATATTTCATATAATCTTCTTATTATAAAAACAAATAAAAGTGTAATTTAAGTGTTTGTATAGCTACAAAACAATTCATAATGACCTTCATATTAGGTTAATGAAGCCTATAGGCTACAACTAGACTCCCATAGTTCACAGCATTAGTTAAGAGATTTGATTTCCTTGAGAAAAATTGCCATTTATTGTAACTGATCTCCAAAATAATCAATATTGAATCGAATCGAAATCGAATCGAATTGTGAAATTTGTCTCAATACCCAGCCCTAATATAGATTGTAGTTGTGACTGGTGGTCTACCACTTACAGCGCGTGTCAGAAACGAAAAGCCCAAGCGCCCATATCTGAATTTCAGCTCCAGAGGCTTCCTCAGTGCTCAGTTTCTCTGTATCAAATCCAGCGCAAGTCTTCATCCGTCACAAAACAAACTCTTATATGCTTGAGCAACAACAACAGATTAAGTCTGTAAAAGTAGACGTTGTTTGTGATGAGCAGTCTGGTTGAAGACGGCTGGTTTGATGCAAATCTACCACATTGTTACGCAAGCATGTAAAAGAAAGTTGACGACTTGTTTCAGCAGTTCAGGAGCGATCCTTTCAAACTTTATTTGTCATGCACTTTGATCTTTAAACCTTAGCAGACCTTTTACATTTCACAAACAGATACATTAAACACTACATTAAAAGGTTAGACCTGAAAATAGGATATTTAATAACAAAAATAATAGTAATAATTATTATTATAATGACCCTGTGCTGTCTTTGTAAATTATGCTTTTGTATATGGCATACCGTTGCATAATAAATGCTGCATAAACTAAAAGTTCACACTTCTAAAGGTGGAGCTGAAAAAAAGAAACCTACATCCTTCATGCAACAACAAGCCTGTTTCACACACAGAGCTCTTCACAGCGTCACACCCATTGTTACATCACGTGTCTCAGGAACACTGAATCTACCAGCAGAACGAAGAGGAAGTCCATTTTCACTGGGTCATTCTATACACAAGTTCCCAGCACAACACAAAAGAACAAAAACACAAGGGAAAACCCCGGGTCAATCATCTGTTCAACACTCGGCGCATCACATGGACTATAAAAGGCTGATATCAACCAATACCGCTTATCACTGGAAGATTCAGCTATCAGCACAGTATTGTTAACAGGTCCAGGCTAAAAGCCGCCATTGAATAAACTGCTCATTTCTTAAACTAAGAGCTTTTACATTTTGCAAATCACGCATGAAGCTGAAGATCGCCACTTAAAAATCAATCACTGACCACTGCAAAGACCTTGACGAACATTTCCTCATTTAAAGAGCTCTTTTCTGGCTCTGACGGGCCGCCTGCCAACATTCCTCTGAGCAAGTTGCAGTCTGCTTGATTCTGCCCAGGTATTCACATTCAGTCCCTCAGTGAACTGCAGGATTAGGTAACTCCTCACCTTTCTTATTTGACAACACAACAGCCCAATGAACACAGGCTAAGATCTCACACGAGTCCCACTTCAGGTTCACATCTTCTTATACATGCACCATGTCTACCACACATGCTTTGTGAATTAGATTTATATGACCGAATAATAATTGTATTTATATTTACACACTTCAATTAAATATATTACCCCCTAGCTCATTCAATTTATGATGCCTTTACATAACACTAATAAAAGTGTAAAAGTTTAACAGAAAGAGTAGTGCTTCTAAGCTCATTACATTTATAAAGTCTTAACATTTATGATGTCCTTCTATAATAATACAAATATTTTGTCATGTTTTTTACAAAATAAAACAAATTGGAAATATTATTGCTCCCATGCTTTTTAGATGTCTTAATATTTGTCTTTACATAATAATAACGGTAATAATAATGATAATAAAAACTATCACTAATAATAATATATGCATCATTTTATTATTATTAATATTATTACTATTCTAAAGAAAAACTGAAAGTCTTGGCAGCACAGGATGACCACTTTATTAGGAAACGTCCAACATCCATGTCAAGAAGTTAAACATGACATGCTCAGACAACTGGCAGGTGCAGCAGGTATGAGGGCAAAAACGAAAGGGAAAGAGGGTAAAAGAAAAACCACAGGGATTTTCAAAAGGTTTGACAGTGGGCGTCGGGTGTCGGGTGTATTTGTACAAAACTCCCCAGCAACCCTGTTTGCCTGTGACATCCCGGTATGACCAAGTGGTTTACTATAGAATCCATGCCGAAGTACAGTATGCCATTATAAATATCTCAATATCTCAGCTCTGGAAGGGCCTAGAGACTCCATTTTTGCACTCAGGTCTAAGTATCATGGCCCTCTATCAGAATCCAGAGTTTCAAGAAGATCAGAGAAACTTTTTTTCTTGCACCGAAAAAGTCGACTGTCGTTTTTTTTGGGTCGAAATTTTGAGTTTCTCTGATCTTCTTGAAACTCTGGATTCTGATAGAGGGCCATGAGAATTAGGCCTGAGTGCTGAATTAGACCCTTCCAGAGCTGAGATATTGAGATCCCATGTAGCATTTACAGTATTCATTCAGTCATTGTAAATTTATTATAGCCATGTCATAAAATTTAAAATGATTCCCACTGTACCAAAACAATAAAACATGTCTTACCGGCTGCATGCCATCTGCCATTTCACCAGAGCCTATGTGTGTCAGATGAACGAAATTTGTGGGCTCTCCGATCATGCTACGGTCAATTCTCCTCCGTTTCTTCTTCTGTGAACATAAAGGCTTATATTAAAGAAAGTCCAGCATAAAGATACAAAGCACATGACTGGCAGACAACTTTTGCCACAGGTGTTCAAAATATAAGTGTAGTGAGTGAACTCAATGAAGCCTGTCATGTGACCACACCAGTGCCTGGGTGATATTACACTAAATTGTCCCTATGGAATCTATTCCTGGATACATCCTGAAGATCCTAAAAATCCCCAAATGTCATACAGTTTACTCAACGGTTTCTCTTTTCTTTCCCAGATCTCGCCTATGTGGTAAAGTAAGTTAGAGAGAGATTAAGTAAGTCTAAAAAAAAAACCTTGTATCAACAACTGCAATAATTATTTGATGAGATCATGTGCCATAGTAGGGGTGTTGTCATACATGCCATTACTTGTCTGCCCACAGTGAAGAAAGTGCATTTACCAACACATAGCACTGGATTTATATTGTCAAACATCAAATATATCTTCTAGACTCATCTGAAAACTCACACTATAGTTTTAAAACAGACCAGAGATCATTTGATGTCAGTTCATTCAGTTCAGTTCATTGGACTGATGTAAAAATGTACAAGCAAGCCGCAAGAGTCTGTTTGAAAAGGTGGTCTGTGCATGTTCATGTAAACTCAAATCACAATTGGTATGAACCATCCTAACTCACAGAAGTGCATGTTGTTAATATGCAATGCATGTTAATAATAATAATGCATTAACATTAACATATTTTTATCATTAAAAAAATAGTACTTTATAAATAACAGTAATTTATTTTCTAATTAAACAATCATCACTATGACAAATGTAGTAAATACTTTGAGATACAATTTAGACTAAAATAGGGCTATAAATATTTATTTCTAAATAGTAATTTAAGAAAGGGTCATGACATGAGAACTAAAAAATTCCCTTGATCTTCTGACATAATGAGATCTTTGTACATTAGAACATCCTGCAAGTACCATAACTTAAAACGTCCTCCTCAATAAAAACAAAGCATTCATTTAATCAAGCTCCACAAACAACTTGTAATGATACTGCAGGATCTGTGACAGTACAAGGGCAAAAACATTTGCAATTGACTGCCTCCAGACTTTGACGAATAGTTATATATAATCGCATCATATGCCCCATGCATATAGTTGCTTAATGGCTGACATTTGGCTATATTTCAAGTGAGCGTCACGTCAAAATCAAATAGATCCCATTATAATGATGACTGACACTGTCTACAATGGATATATTGTAATGGATGGTTTATATTAATGCTGTCCCAAATCACATCAGATAATTATATATTTGTTCATATCATTTTGTTTTGTAAACAGGAGAGTATAACGTTTGTTGAAAGTAGATTTAATTTTGTTAATGAAAACAATGATGAAATGCCACGATGATGAATTTTTTCCCACGACAAGACGATAATGAGATAACAATAAGGTGCAACATGCAATATCGTTGCCAATGTTAACTAAAACTATAAAATTCCCAGACATTTAGTAGACTTAAACTTGACTAAACAAAAACAGTTTGACTAAATATGATGACAAACACTAAAAAGTACATTTGACACAGTACTAAGACTGAATAAAAAAAAATGCTGACAAAATTAACTCTAGTAGAAGCCAAATGTATTGGATCTGACAGCAGCTGCATGACAATCCATAAGTAAATGATTTCATAAGGCTTTTTTATGGATGTTCTAACACTTCAGTTAGACACATGCATTATCAAATGGAGTGGATGTTGATATCGTTTCCTATGTAATAATTTTAGCCAATCATAACCATGGCAGTTTACTGACAAGTCTTAAAGGAGCCACCCCTTAAAAACAGATCATTTCAGAATGGGTGAATCTCAAGAAACATTCAAATAAAAATTAAAAATTCATGCCATGACCCCTTTAAAACAATTAGTCAATATTACAAATTCAACGAGCACTTGAAGGTACTTTTAAATAAAACATGGCTATAGATACTTTTCGTTTATGTACAACAATTACGATAATAAATGAATAAATAACAATGACAAATGCATTATTATTGTTACTTTTAAAATATATACCTTTTATTCAAAAATGTACCTCAAAGTCCCAAGTAGACTAGGTATATTTTTATTTATTATTTATTAGGAAATAATTTAATTATTAGAAAGAAAGAAAGAAAGAAAGAAAGAAAGAAAGAAAGAAAGAAAGAAAGAAAGAAAGAAAGACCAGAGTTACATATCCATAAATGCAAAATTCTTATGTAACTCCAGGCATCCTTCAAAGATGTTTACTTTCATAATCTGTATATAGCCAATGGCCCATAGCACATGCTTTAGTCTTTATCTGATGTAAGTAGAGAGAGACACTTAAAGTAATCATTTTATCCAAATCAGTTTAAGAAAATTGCTCTTGCACTGGGGGAAGGAGCATTGGTCTGCATTACAGATGCCCACTGATGTCTAACCCCCCACCCACCCAACAATAGAACAAACAAGAACCTAAAAATAAAAAGAGGAAGGAGGGAGGAAAAGAATGAGCACTCCCAGCTCGGAGGAGCAAGCTTCCCTTCAGAACCCCCTGTCATTGTTACAGTAAACCTGGGTCACTCATCATTGGCTCAGAACCCTAATCCAGATAAAACAAACTGACTAACAAAGATTGAATGGAACTAAATTTGTCAAATCCATAGCTATTCTACAAATAAAAACATGATTATTTTACTTACCGGAATGTTAAAGGGATAGTCCACCCAAAAATATAACTGCCATCATTTACTCATTTTTCCCAAACTCTTTACTTTGTTTTGTTCAAGCAACACAAAAGAATAAGTTTAGCAGAATGTCCAAACTTTCTCTTTTTCCGAAGAAATGAAAGTAGACAGCCAGGGGCGGTCATGTGCCAGCAGGCTCATAAAAGTGCCATGAAAAAGATCAATATTGTAGAACTCATGCTCTATTTTTAGTCTTTTAAAGCCATATGATTATTTTGTGACGAACAGACTGATACTTCAGTCATTGTTAACAGCACAAACGTTTGAGGTCATGATCAATAATGTTTGAGGTCACACCTGGTACAACACATCTTGTGGCACCACATTTGAATATGCAAAAGCATGAATGAGATTTGAGAGCTAAAGACTACTTTTATTTTTTAGATAAAAGTAACAGATCAAGTTATATGGCTTTAGAAGACTTGGAATATAGAATGAGAGTCATGTAAAACTTCTATGGTGCTTTTGTTCATTTTGGAATCTGACAGATGGTGGTCAATGTATAAAAAATAGCAGCATCAACATTATGTTAAACTTCTCCTTTTGTGTTCTACTGAATAAAGTCATATGGGTTTAAAATGACTTTGACATTGGGGTGAGAGAATGACAACAAGTTTAATTTTGGGGTTAACTTGATGAATTTAACAAAAAATACATGCATCGTACACTACCGTTCAACCGTTCGATTTTGGGGTCAGTAAGATTTTTAAAGAAGTCTTTTAAGCTCACCATGGCAACATTTATTTAATCAAACAGAAAAACAGAGTTAAAAAAGGAATGTTGTGAAATATGTATACAATTTAAAACAGCTGGTTTGTACTTTTGAATATAATTTAAAAAAAATAATTTCTGTTATGGCAAAGCTGAATTTTCAGCATCATTAGTCAAGCCTTAAGTGTCACATGATCCTAGAAATCATTCTAATGCTGATTTGCTTCTCAAAAAAAAAAAAAAAACATTAAAAACAGTTGTGTTGCTTAATATTTTTGTGGAACCTGTGATACATTTATTTTTTATGAACAAAAAGTTCAAAAGAACAGCATTTATTTCAAATAGAAACATTTGTAACATTTGTAAATGTCACTTTTGATCAAATTAATACATAATTGCTAAATAAAAGTAGTATTTCTTTAAAACAAATCTCACTGACCCCAAAGTCTTGGTCATAAATATCAAATATGCATGTATGGGCACATTTATCAGACTTCCTTCACATGAGCTACCTCTACACATCCACCCGTCCAATGACAGAGCATTCTTTGTCCATCTAGGTTTCAGGTCTGGCTTCACTCTCCAAAACACATTTGCACTCCTGACAAACTCCTGAGACTATCTGGGTCACATTCACATCAGCTGAAAGGTTTCTTTTCTGTCCCAGACCAGCGTGAGTCATTCTTCGCGTGATTAGCGAACACAAAACTTGCATGAGCCATGGGGAAGGCCAAATTGGTGAAATTAGTCCAGATGTTGATCTCAAAAGGAGCCTGGTATCAATACCTCTGTGACTCACGCAAATTCGTAAAAACTAGGTTTTATTGTATTAGAATGGTTTATGATGAAAGAAAGAAAAAAACTATAAATCTCTCAAAATGAGGCACTTACCGGAGGAGGTTTGGCTACGACGCAGCAGCCGATCTTGTGCCAGAACGCACTCATCTCCGGCGAGCACCGGTTGGATTCCCCCCTCTCTCTCGCCACCCTGCAGGCCGTTTAGAGACGAGATAGAGAGAGAATCTAATCCTCAACACTTAGCGATATAAGCTGTGGCACGTCCAAAAACCTGTCCTGATCACCGACAGAATCCTTGTTGATGTCTGTGCTTTTGGTATATATAAGACCCCTTAATTCCCTCAGTTATTCTGGGCCCAGTTAATTTCCAGTTGATTCTGTAGGACTGTGATGTTTATGCCGGACAGTGATGTTGCAAACAAATCTGTTTAATGAAAGAAAGAACAAATAAATGATTTAATTAGGTAGACATGATCCATCATACACAAGCACATACATCACATAAAAAAGACAGATAACACACTATGGAAACAAAAACTGCAAAACAAATACAAGATCTTGACCCAAAATATATGCACATTTCTCCTGATGGGAAAAAATATTGTGGTTTAATTTCCATCAAGAGGTGCATTCTGTAAAGTCTACTCCTCCAGCATATCTCAAAGATGTTCAATGAATTTAAGGTCTGGAGTCACAGGTGCCAATTCATGTGTGAAAATTATTCTTCATGCTCCCTCCCAACCATTGTTTCACAGTTTGAGCCTGATGAACATTGTCAGACTGGAATATGGCCATGATGTGTCTTCTTACATGGTTGTTTAAGAAATCAAAAGCTACTCCCTCCATCAATTAGGGTTAGAAAAAGTGTTTCCAAACATTTTTAACATGCTAGAAAAATAATAATCATTATTACTCACTGATTAATCACAATGCAATAATGACCAAATCATAGACTCATAAGCAATTTTTTTGGCTGGGCAGTGTTAGTACTCATAGTACTCAAATAACTTAATGGTCCTACTATTTGCGTAAAATAAATTTCAGTAGGATGGCAGTACCACCCATAATGCAGTAAAATCATGACATTTTTCCACACGTATCATTTTGTAATAACATGGTAGGCCTACTTTAATACAATTGTACTGAATATTTAACATATTCATCTAGGTATTAACATGGTACTCCAATTAACTTCAAAGAATAGCATATGGTATAGTCAGTGGGTGTTGAAAAACAAAATCACATGGTAGTAACGTTAGTGCCAAAAGTAGTAGTTTATAATAAAGAAATTAATTAGTTAATAAACAAACAATAGTATAAATCCGAACTTTGTAACGGTCTCAAACGTTGAGCTGTGCTGTCTAGATAGACAGCAATCATAGGGCCCTTTATGCTGTCTAGGAAGGCAGTTCACTTTTTTTAAAGGCACACAACCGCTTTCTTGTGCACTGACACTTAAATGTGCAAAAACCGTTACAACTAAGAGAAATACACGGAAAATCGGTGCAACAACGAGCAACAAACCTGTTAAACTGACAGCTACTAAACACACCTAGAATTAGTTCAGTAAACGAGGAACAACGGTTTACAAACGTTAAGAAACCACTCAGCCGCAAGCAGAAAAACAAACAGACCGGGGAAGTTAAGAAAAACACTAACGCAGAGTTTAAAAGTTTTAAAATGTTTTTTCCCCCCTATCGACTAGTTTTAATTCGCAGCAACTCGGTGATTAAATTGTCGGAGAGTTATCCGACTAAAGTAAACTTGACCATTTTTCTCGTCTTTATTACTCGAGCACACTAGGCGCTGTTCTTATTCAAACTGAACTGTTACTGAAAGTTTGGCACAACAATCCAGCTCGACTTCGGGCCATGGTAGCGGCTCAAATGAATTAAAAAAGTTCAACAGAGTCTTGGAAAAAGTTGGGTTTCCTCATACGATATAAAATATAAAGGATTATGCTTACTTCCTACATGTAACGAGAGTCCCAGTGAAGCACCTCTTGTGTGGAGAGCCCAAGGTGGAAATGACTGTTCCCAGCCAGATCACTGAGGTGTGGTTGAAGTTTCCCCCATTAATATGAGGAAATACTTCAAAACGGAGACCATCAGCGCCACCAATGGGCTACTGATATAGAGCCAGAAGACAAAAGTTGGTAAATTTAGTTTTATTTTATTTTTGTTTATGTCATTACATTGTTAGAGGATAAGAAACAAATGAAAGAGAAAAAGAAAACATGTTATGCTGTGTAAAGACTGGTTTAAAATATTTAAAAGTGAATGTTCTTTCATTCACCAATCAATTTTTAGGTTTTAGGTTTTTTTTAACCAAACTTTGTATAAAGATGATTGTCAACTATGTTATGAAAGATATAATTGATATACATTTTACTTTGTGCAAAATGTTGGCAAGTGTCCTCTGCAGTGGACATGTATAAAATGAATGGCCTTTTGTAACAGAAAGACATCTTTTTAATAGAAACCACATAACATTTTCCTGAGATGTTAATTTATTATAAGCCAGATGATAATTACAAAATATTATCATATTTCCAAGAGTGCTAAATTTGATGTCAGTCTAAAGACCAAGACTTTGTTATAATGGTGAAAACTCCAAACATTTGGTTGCCTATCTTTGAAAAGCCCTGAATACTCTTTACAGGACATCCAGACTTAAAAGTGATATGTAAGTTGTCAGAGAAATTCATTAAAATATAATGGTTCCTACAGAGGACAAATGTATATTCCTGTATATTCCAATATATCTGATGTATGTAAACATAATATTTAAGAAACACTTAAACATGTCTTTCTTTAATTTATAGATTTATTTATTTTTGTCGATTATCTTGTGAAATTTGAGGTTTATTTAGATTAATTTCCTCCAACTTGTGTTACTTTACTGCGTTTAAATAGCACATGGCTGAGATTCCCCAGTTTGCCAATTCTCATTATTTAAAAGCAGCAAATGAGTGTGCACTTTTACATTCAATTGTGTGTTAAAAATAACACAGTGTGTCATATTAAGTATTATGCATTAGTGTTTTATTGATATAAAACAATATCATAAAATGTATTTTTTAATGAATAAATAATAAAAAATAAATATTTATTAGAAATATGAACAGCAGGAGCTGTTTGCCAACGCTACATTGGTAAAAAAAAAATATATTAATTTTTATAATCTGACAATGTATTTTGATTAATACACAATTTATTTCAATGCAATGACCCTGAATTAGTGCTTTTAAATATTTAAATAGAAAAAACATAGCAATCTCAGCAGTCCAATACTAAAGAGATATTTAAATAGAAAAATAACAAGTTGGAGGAAATTAATTTGCATAAACTTCTTCACTTCCAAAAACAGAGAATAGATGATATACATTTTTCTACTGGTGTAACGAATATCTACTAGATATGCAGTAGGGTGCGCTACAGACGTCTCGACTTTTAAACACTACCACAGAAGAACCAATCAAATATTTCTATTTCCGGTACCGTTCGTGCGCCATCTTTGACGAATATAGTCCATCTATGTTATTTTTGTTTTCAAAAAGTATCGAAAAGTATGATAGTGCACTAAATCGCACTAAATAACCCAAGCATACGCCTGTTTTTTACTGTGTCTAACGTGTTATAATAAAGTAAAAGTCTTCGGGGAACATTTCGGCGAGGTGAGCAGCTGAAGTTTTGCTTATATTATATTCTGTTTACTTAAAACTGACTGCAAGAGTTTGATGAACTGTCATTAAAAGAGATTTTAATTAGATATTTTAGAAGGTTTTGGTCATAAAGTAACTGCAGACGATATCCTGTCAATGCGGACAGCTATTTTCTAACTTAAAAACTTAAGCGTAACTTAACGTTAACTTACTCAGCTTGTTCAAAAGGATATATGTGCACTTTCATAGTATCGATACTTTGTTCTTTACTTGTCAGATTATTAGCATGCCCTTAAAAATAATTTCTTAGTTTAACATCTCGGAAAATAGACTATATTTTATCACGTTGAAGACAACATGGCAACAAGTTATTGTTAGACTTTTTTTTCATAGAAATCATACTTTTTGTTGTTGTAAATAATAACAGTATATTATTGACGGTTAACCTGTTTTTTTAAGTGTGTGAAAATGTCCACCCAGCCATACACGTCTATTGTAAACAAAAGTGTCCTGCATGAAATCAACTTCCCCCGGAACTTGCCTTATTATAAAATGATGACTATTTCCCGTCTTGTCATTGATGATGAATTATGACTTACATTAATGTACACATCCGCTTCCTGGCACTGTGGTATAAAGTCTTATGATTAATATAACACAGTGCCATTCAGCACACAGTTTGTATATATGGAAAACGGTTTCATTAACATCTTTTGGACATTTTCTTGAAACACTACATCTGGTTAAACATCCCATGACTGTAAACAGGTAGTTGTTAAGATATAAAGCAACTTTTCAGTATCAATATTTGCATCATTAGATGTCGCTTGTGGATTTGGGAAAGCGTTTGTTGGAGGCAGCGCGGAAAGGACAGGATGATGAAGTGAGGTCACTTATGGCCAATGGAGCTCCTTTTACTACAGACTGGGTGAGTTATATTTGCTGCTCAAAGAATACTGCAAATGCAGACCAATTACCTATTTATAATCTGTATTTCACTATAACAGTAATGACAATGATAATATGTTTTAGCTGGGAACCTCGCCACTTCATTTAGCAGCACAATATGGGCACTACTCCACCGCTGAGGTGCTTCTCCGTGCCGGCGTGAGTAGAGATGCCCGGACTAAAGTCGATCGGACCCCCCTCCACATGGCTGCGGCTGAGGGCCACTCGAGCATCGTTGAATTATTGGTCAAGGTATAAACAGATGATCTCAGAATAGTATTGGATTATTTGATTTTTTATTGCGTTGTTATGTCTGATTTTGCTCTTAACTGGGACAGAGTGGAGCAGACATCAATGCCAAAGACATGCTGAAAATGACAGCCTTGCACTGGGCTACAGAACATGGGCACAGGGGAGTCGTGGAGCTGTTGGTCAAATACAGTGCTGATACTCACGCCCTCAGCAAGTTTGACAAGACGCCTTTTAACATTGCAGTGGACCGAGGAAACACTGAGCTGATGCTCTTGTTACAGGTGAAAATTTGCTTTTTAATGATGTGTTGTGCTATTAGATATTAATGCACAATCTAAAAGTCACCAGCCGTTGTGTATTTTACAATGGTCTTGGGTGAAATCAAGCTGCAGTATCTTCACTTGACTACTGTTTGTTATTCTAGGAGGGAATGCAGAACCAAGTGAACATGAATCCAGAGAGGACTATCCTAAGCAGCACATCACCCGCCACCGCCAGCCCTCAGTTCATTATATCCTCCTCTGGAGTGGTCAATCTCTCTGATATTGTTCTCACCAATTCTAAGGCTAACATGGGTATGAGTTTTATTACATTTTTACTGAAAATTTGCCTGGCATTAAACTGTTTAACAGATTTTATGTTATGTAAAAAAAAATAATATTTTTAAATAATTTTGCCTATAACAATGGCAATATATTTTCTATCTTCCCTGTCAAAAATCATTTGAATCACTAATCTTCTTCCTAGTTAATTCAGTTTGTTGGCTTAAATTTAAGGATTTTTCCAGATGCACTACCATTCAAAAGTTTTTAAAGTCAATAAGATTTTAAAGACATTAATACTTTTTTAAGCAATGACACATTACTTTGATCAAAAGTGACATAAAAGACAATTCTAAAATTAAAAAGACTTCTATTTCAAATTAATGCTGTTCTTTTTTTTAAACTTTATATTCATTTAAGAAACCTAAATAAAAGTATCAAGGTTTCCAAATCAGCATATTATAACGAAGAATTCATCAAATGAATAAATTAATATATTAGATACAACAAGTGTTCTTTTAAATCAGTAACTAATTACTAGCCAGTAATTACATCTTTAATCGTGTAATTAGATTACTGTACTAACCAATGTGTCTAAAAAGTATTGCATTACTTATTAATAATCACTTTCTAAATCCAATATCAACCTCGATCAGTTGAACAATACAAGAATAGACATGAAACTGCTCTTTTTAACTCTTTCAAATAAAAAAATTGCATAAATTGTTATTGAACTGACCAAAGTATTTAGAGGGTGAAGGTTACATTAAAAACATAAATTTTAACATTAGACATTAAATTTAGATGATAAATTCAATATTGAATAATATAGAATAGAATTGGTCTTTATACTGTATAATACAAAGTAAATAAATTACAGGAAAATTACACTGTTCACAATATTACTGTTGTTTCGAACAAATAAATGCAACTCATAAATGTGAGTTTTGTACAAATTAAATGTAAAAAAAATAAATGTAACCTTTATTAAAAACGTAAATCTACGCTAAAGTTTCTTTAGCATGGTTCTATGTTTGAGAACATAAGTCAGTTCATTTGTTGCAGTTCATAAGAAAATTACCATCCAACTGGCATTTATTTACTCACTGAAGCCAATTTTTCTTGCATTTTGTGCTTGTTTTATTGACATTTTGGAACAGTATTAAATTAACCTTTTTAAAGTTTGAACCTATATTTGAACTTTATGCACCTAGAGAATTATAGCGTATGCCTTGCAAACAAACTGCGTCTATATATTTCTGCAGGAGCTTCAGAGAGTGTGATTGCCGCTGATTCAGTGGATTCTGCCATCCAGCATCTTGTAGGGGAAGATGGCCAGAGAGTCATCACCATAGTAACCGACCAACAGGGAAACCTGCAGTCTGGCAACTTGGGACAAAAATTCTTTGTCACAATGCAGGGGCAGCAAAGTGAGAAGATTTCTGCAGCATTAGTTTATAGCTCTTTTAGGACTTTGATGGCAGTATTTATATTCTGACATGCCTGTATATATTAGTGGTTGCAGTGCCAGCTGGACAGATTTCAGAAGAAATCATAACGGAGGACACCAAACCAGTTTCAACACGGAAGCGGAAATTCGAATCAACCGTAAACCACACAGATGTCAAACATAAGGTGTGATCAGTAAAGATTATTTACAAATAAAATATAGATTAGTGAGGGATTTTGATTTTCTTTTGTTCATTGGTTAACAGTAACGAGTGACGGGCTGCAGCAGGTTTATTAGGGACTGTCACTTTAAGACCGAATGCACAGATCCAATATACTGTTGCATATGTGTTTTCTTTTTTGACTGGTTTTTTTATTGTTTAATGTTTTCTGCAGGAGTCTGACGAGAAGGACAGTAGGGAACTGCTGGAACAGCAACTAAAAGAGGCAAACAGAAAAGCCCAGGAGTACCGACAGCAGTTACAAAGAAAGGAACAGGAAGCTGAGCAGTACAGGCTTAAACTAGAAGCCATAGCCAATGGCCAGACCAATGGCTCCAGCATAGAGCCCCAAGAGGAAGTGGTGCTCCAGGAAGAGGAAGAGGAGGAGGAAGAGGTGGTTGGTGAAGAGGAAGTTGTCATGTTGCCAGAAGGGGCCATCATCATTAAGGAGGAGCCCCTTGATTCAACAGCAGGAGAAACAGTGACGTTAGTAGAGGCGGCAGATATCACAGCCACTTCTGAGGGCACGCCGTAGCGGTGAACCCAAAGACTCAAAACACTCAGGAATTACATATACTCTTCTAGTCTGTGTACCTGGAGAGACATGTTGTATTTATTGATTGTAAATCATAACCTTTTGTTTTTCCCTTTTATACTCTTAGCATTCAGTTTCTGTACAGACCTCTACAAAGACGTAGCGTGAATTATATTTAGGTGGTCACAATGATGCTGAGCTGCTCAGATTGGTAGAATAAGAAGATCATGCTCTTTTAACATAAAGTGGTGCAAGATGCTTTTCAATCAAGCCCTATTATGCAACTCAAGTGCATGCTATAGACCATTTTGCAAGATGTAAACAACACTGGTCCAGAAGCACTTCCTGTTTCAGTTTTTTAACACTACATAAAAGCTGGGATAAAATACAACCAACAGAACATATAAAACTGAATCAAAAAGTTAAACAAACATCTTTAAGATGTTTTCTTTACATGTGAAATAAAGAAAACAGTTACAAACTGAAACAGGAAGTGTTTCTGGACCAGTGTTGCTTACATCTTGCAAAATGGTCTATACTATTAGAACGCACAATAGTGTACTTAAAGGAATGTTCTGGGTTAAATTCAATCCTTTTCTAGGTTTACAAGGCATGGTTATATTAATGCGCTTTTAATAAAAATAAACTAGAAAAGCTGTTAAAACACTTGCATTACTCATTCAGTAAAATGTACAAAGTCTATTATTTTAGTCCAAATCACCCTTTTTGAAGATTTTCTAGGTCATGACTGGGTTTACAATGACTGGGCTTACCATCGGCGTGTTGTCATGATATCAAAGCTGAATGTTTATTGCCAAGATTTTTGTTTATTTAAAGTCGCATTGCAAATGCTGTCGATATAGCTCAACTTGAACACAGAACATTCCTGAAATAGTGACGAGAGTGAAGGTTACAGTATATCATTATAAACAATAATAGAAATTATTGAGAGGTAAGACCTCTATGATGTTATGGCTTTATGTGACGTTGACCTGCTCCTGCAATGTGAGCATGTCGTATTGATGCAGTCAGCATTAGGTGATGTATTTACTTCAGCAGACTCTTTAATGATTTATTACACTTTTAGCTGTTTATAAAGATAACTTGCTCTATTCAGACAGAGTACAAAAATGAGCAATGGTGGTTTAACTTTTTTATCTTCCATAATTTCCTTTGTTCTGTTAGACACTAAATCACGATGTGCATTTCAAAGTTTTGTGCTCTAAAAAGTATGCAACTTGTCTGTGCTTGCATTCCATCTTTCCCTGTAAAATTCCCCAGTTAGCAGCTTTTACTGTGTCTTTCAGTGAAGTTGTATCATTAGTTGTGTTCAATCTGAATCTGTGTATGTCAGGTTTTAAAATATGAATGAATGCTGTAAGACATTTTATGGAACTAGACCTCAAATGCTTTATAGATTTGCTTCTCATAGAAAAGTTTTGCCTTTTCTTTTCTGCTTTTGTTTTAGGTACATAGCTGATGATTAACATTCCACGAATTGAATTTTAAGGGCTTGCATAACCGTTATGGTGCACAACTTATTTTTACTCTGTGCATATGAAAATATTTGTTTTCTCCCATTTAAACCCATTAATATTACGATTTTGAAGGACATTATACTATTTATTGAATGGGTGATTCATTTCATTTGGACAAGACCATGTTTTCCCCTTTTATTTTTCTTGCTTTTTATGCATTAATTCAGTTCTATGTGATGTCTTCAGCAGTGATTTATAGGTACAAAAATAACAATCTTAATTCGACATTAGATAATCTCTGTTGAAATTAGTTTCAGGCTTGTTTACACTTTTATTTTATTGTAAAATTTGTTTCACGGGCAGAATTACTCATTGTATTTCAGTGTGATGGAAGCAAATGCAAAGAGTTTAACAGCAGACACAAGCACATGATATATAACATAGATCAACAGTTTTACCTGAAGATTTCTTGTGTGTATATTTTTACATATATATTATTTTTGTAATGAAACACTATTGGGGCTGTCTTTAGTGCATCTGCAGCTGCATTTTATCATCTTTGGTCAAAATAAATATTTCTGAGGTTTGGTATCTTTACTACTATTTTTGTTTTTTAGAAAATGTTGTTTTACTTATTAAAACAAACGTTTATTCATCTTCAAACATGTTCCTTCGTAGTAAAATTCCTCGCTTCGCTAGTCCTGATTTCAAAACACTCAATCGAAACGCGTATTTCAGAATGAAGATTGTCCTAATGCGACTTCCGTACCCACGTTACTAGCATAGCAGACAAACGAGATATTTCCATAGGATATTTCTTCATATTTACATGTAATGTAAAAACAAATTATGTAATTGCAGACACTTTAAGTACATTATTATTTTGACGTTTTCTTCTCCTTTACGACGCGATACTGAAGAAAATTAAAAGTAGAGAAAAAAGAGCAGCATATCCTGCTCAACTGTTGTGTAGTTTATTTTTCAGTCATGTTTCCAGAATTGAACAATATTCTCAATTCCACTCCAGACAGTTTCAAATCGGTAACTGATTATAGTAATTACATCTCTTTTCACGCTTAATGTAACTCACAAAATGTCATTGACTCGAACCGATGTTTTCTGTAACGTTACTTGTAGAGTGACTTCGTCCTGGTGTCTGACAGGCAAGCTGATGCGTCATTCCTCATTCATCATTATCTGTCTTTTTATTTACGTGGTAAGTGACCTACTGTACGCAGTGAGGAAATCTTGTGTTAATATATGTTTATTTATAAACTTGTATATTTCCAGCTGGCTGTAAGGTGTGTTTTCTGGGTCTTGTTCAGTCCTTCAGTCACTACAGTGCTGTCGGTCTGAGGCTGGTAAGTCTATTTGCTTTATTTTGACATTTGAATTATTGCATTGATATGACTTGTACATAATGTTTCTGTGCAGGGAGTGAGTCTGGCACAGGCAAGAGAGAAGGGCCAGCTTGTGTTTCTCGAAGGACTAAAGGACTCTATCGGAGTTATATTACAGGAGGAAAACAGTCAGGGGACACAACATCTCACAAGTTATCTCAGGCATGCTCAGAAAATCTAAATGCATTTCCCTCAGTTTCCCTATTCCTATATATTTAAGTCAGATATATAAAGAAAATAAGACTAGTCTTTCCATTTTGTTTTTCTAGGTCCCCAGGTGCTGGATTGAAAGGTCTGTTCAAATTTGTGGAAAGTTCTGTGCGTCAGAATGCAGATTGTGATGATGGTGAATCATGGGGTCCTCCAGTGTTACTCATAGATGATCTCAGTGTGCTCCTGAGTTTAGGTGTTACTGTTGGAGCAATACTAGACTTTACTCTCTACTGCCAAGCCACTGTGTGCACTGAGTTACAGGTGAGTCAGTGTTTTGGGGTTTGTGCCTGAAATAATGCCAGACTATTTTATCAATGCTTCATTATTTTTGTGCCTTGATATCCAGGGTAATATGGTAATACTGGTGAGATGTGAGGAGGAGGATGTAGATGAAGAAGGAGCAAACTTGCTCCAGAGGGGACTAGTTCATCAGTGTAACTTGGCATTACACGTGGAGGGGTTACCCACGGGTTACTGCAGGGACATACATGGACAGGTGTGGTTTATTGTTAAAACTCCACTAATACTCTGTAACAAATGACCCTGATTTGCGCTGACATTTTGATGTTTGCTTATGTTTTCCAGATGCAGGTTTATTGGCGACAGAGTGGAGAGACCATGTACAACCCACAAAAAATATTTCATTTTAAAGTCCATGATAAAGGAGCGTCATTTTTTGCTCGAGGGACTTCTAGTGCTGTTCTCTAAGTTTTCAAATAAAAGTTATTCATAATGTCATTATGTAGTTTGTTTCATGTAAATAAATAGATATATAATACATCACTATTTGCTGTTGTTGCCATATGTTTTCATTACTTGTCGAGTTGATTTTGTGCAGAAAAAGGGGTGCTAGCAAAAGCATCGACATTTAATCTAGAAATATTCTATATAGGGCCATATGTGCCAGTAATTCCCACCAACGGTAAAAATCATGACGTTACAAAATCCCATTTTACTGTCTGGGGTCCCTTTTATGAAAAGAAAATAGATTTCCCTACATGTGAATGGTTTCACGCAGCATATTTGAAAAGTGTAAAAAATGTGGTAATAACATAAAGAAAAAATATTGGGTTGAGTTGCCACGAAGGACGTTCACTTCGTCTCTAACCTAACGCAGGTCTTCAACACAGGTCTAATGTAGGTTCTCAGAGATTATATAGGGCAGTATTTCTCACTAAAGGAGAAAGCAAATGCAGTTTTATCTTGTTTGAAGACTTAGGACATGTTATATATAAATTTATTTTTTAATTTTCGTTATGGGATTTTCCTATATAAGTTGCCACTGAAGGCGCTGTTGAGATTATGTTGTTTGTAACAGACCAGATTTGTTTATGTGGCACGCAGATTCATTTTTTCGCGAATCGATTCCTTTGAACAGTTTGGTTCAAGGCTAATCTAACGTGTTATAGGCTACTGTGTCGTTAATATCCTCTATGTTAATACAAGTTGTTTGCATAGGTTATTTGGTGTGGCCAGAGAATGTCTAATAAGGGGGAGAATTAGCACTGTCTGGTTGCTTCCAATTTCTGGACTGGCTGCAGTAACACGTCTCTGTCTGTGCGGGGGCGCTCGCAGGCGAGTGCAGAATGAACTTTTCTCAGTATGCCATTTTTTGTCAAGTAATTTGAAAGTTGCATTCAAAAAGGGGGGGGGGCTAAGATAATACACTCAGCTGAAAATAGCATTTTTTTGTACACTTATCTGTTCTATAAATCCATTCAAAAATGTGATGACATCACATAATAGCAGAATGCTAGCGTGTTCCGGCCAACAACAACCAAACCTGTAAGAAATCAAAAGGACATAAGTATTTGTTCATTTGACTTTTGGTGTATAATCTATATTGACCTTGCAGAATCAACATTAAAATCTACGTTGATTCAACGACAACCAGGAGAAAAAATACATTTAGCCGTCTAGCGCGATAGACTCCCTTTCATTTTGCACTCGCCCGCGATCACCTCCAGTGGAATTCTAATGGAACTGCAACCAAGATGATATACAAGACTCTTCATAGACGGACTCTGTGTGACTCAATGGACTGATTGACCATAACCAATTCAACTGATTTGTTGAGTTTCGACTCTTTCATGAATTTGACGTTGCTAATGTCGCCTTCCATCCAAGGGGGTAATTCATCAGCCGGAAGTTGAAGCTGCCTCCAGGGCCGCCATTGTAGTGGGCTATCACCTGCTGTTAGCATCCCATATAGGGGATTATCATGCTTCCGGGTGTTCTGTCGATCTGTCCTACCTTGTCAGATTTTCCTACCGTAGCGCAAAATTATAGCCATATCTATCGGTTCATCCTACCTCGTCGTAAAATCCTACTGAGCGTTTCTGCTTCGCGTCTGTGACTAGTACATAAAATATTTCAGTGTAACTTTGCCGAATTTTCTTATTAGGCTATGTTACGGTGATTTTACAGTGAAAAGTAAGTTACCTCTTCAGATTGTCCTATGAAATAAACGGTAGGATGATTTTACGTTGCAAAATACCTCATCAGATTGTCCTACCAGTATGAAATAAACGAGTAGTATGATTTTACAGTGCAAAATGCCTCATCAGATTGTCCTACCAGTATGAAATAAACGAGTAGTATGATTTTACAGTGCAAAATGCCTCATCAGATTGTCCTACCAGTATGAATAACGAGTAGTATAATCGTGTGTGTGTTTATATTTTACACCAAACAATCAAATCAGTTCGCCGCCAATTCATCAATTTAATGTGAGAGTAAACAGTTCTCATTACTGCTATTATATCTTTGTATAGTAATAATTGACATAAATAGTGAAAAAAGATCTCGCGCAAGTAGTAAAATATTATGGGCGTGTTGTTCAGCGTGACAAAAATGACGTATTATTGATGTGCGCATGCGCAGTAAGACTTGGTAGGACAATCTGACGGGTAGGATGGAATGTCAGAACACCGGGTTTCATGGGCGGGATTTGTCAACTTTGTGCACTTTGTGTCCACTTCCGACGCAGTTCAATAATGGCTGAGACGAAGGCTATATGTCACTGCTCTGTTCCAATTTGTAAATCTAACCAACAACGCCAACCCTACGTAAGTTTTCATGGATTCCCGACTGAATTGAGTATAAAGAAGAACTGGATTAAAACTTTAAAATAAAACAAGGTAGCACGTTTGTTTGCTGCCGGCACTTTAGTGAATCAGACTAATTTACCAGGGATGCCGTATAAATAAACTTAGTGTAGTCCTTCATCAGTTCGCCAGCGAGATCGGTGATTCAACGGAAGTGGCAGTGCACAAAGATCACTGAATCCGGAAGTCCTACGTATCAGCGTGATAATCCCCTATTGACTCAATTTTGGGGTCACTTTGACAGCGAATTACTTTACATCTGAGGCGTCCAAAGACTCCATTTATCCATTATTTATTTCTAAAGAAACACGAAAATGTATAAAAGGCTCCATTACGTTGTGTGTTACGTTATGGCCACGTAGAAGCCGTTCTTGTAAAAATAGGCAAAAAATTGCGTCATAATCATTCGACTGTCCGTCGCACAGTAGAGAAGTCAGGAGACAGGAGAAGCTCGCACTGCCTCGCAGGCAATCTTTTACTGTCTAAAGTCAGCCCATGGCATACACAGAAACAAAATAACAAAATAATTAATCAAAATACTTACCAAAAGTTTCTCCAGGTCGCTTGTCTCTGTGCACGATTAAAGTTTCTTCTTCTTCTTCTGTTGTTTAAATGGCGGTTGGCAAACCAACTTCAAGGTGCATTGTCCGCCACCTACTGGATTGGAGTATGAAGCAGAAAACAAACAAACAATCTTTCTTACCACTTCTGTGTCATTTAAAAATTTGAAAACTTTTTTGTCTATTGTACAATTTGTTCCTTCAAACGATTAAACTTTTTTTTTATTGCTATACAGAATTCAAGTATAAACAATAAGGCATAAATCAACAATCGTACAGTTACATTCGTGCTGATATATCACTTAGAGAAGAAAAAAATTACATAGAAGAGAGAGAAGAAAAAAAAAGCAAATAAAAAAAATAATTAAAAAAAGGGTGAGGGTCTTATTCCAATAACCTAAACATTTCCAAAACGGAGAGAAGTACGATTAAAATGTGTCTTGGCACAGCTACTAAAAGATTTACAACTGTCAGTCAGTTAGCTCACGTGACATCTACGTCGTCAAGCTCAGTTTGAGCCTGCGCGGAACGCTTGGCTATCAGGAAGTGAGTGCCCATGTTGAGCTTCAACCAAGAAGTAACTCTCTCCGTTGAAATCAACGGGGTCGCTATGTCCATTTCTTTTATTGTCTATGCTTCCATGACTACCGTGACCGTCTCTTGAAACCGATCGAATTTCCTTCTTTGTAGTGAGTGAAAAGCATGCAATCCAAACGACGAAATTGTATTATAATTCAGTTTCATGCTCCGACTTTAGCGTTTATAGAGTAAGCGGAAGATATTTTTTTTCAGCTAACGTTATACATATTATATCAAAATAAGGAAAAACTGTTACCAGCGCATAATCACGTGTCATTTTTTTACAGTCTATGGTTTAAAGCGACCGCCCTCTTGAGACTGGATTGAGCTTGAAATTAGACTTCTTGCACGCCTCTCAGCCTGCAGACCAGTCTATGCTGCAGACAGACTAACAGGGGTGTTGTGTTATTAGACTTGTCAGGTTTTAACATGGGCAGTTTATATCTCTCAAGAGGTCGGTGTATTCTTCGGCAGGTGTTCTCTGGCCTATCCACAGTACCCATCATGCTACAGCGGCCGTACAGCCTCGATGTGTCAGAGCAGCTCCTGCGGACTGAAGGCTTCATAGATGGGCGCTGGGTCTCCGCTGCATCCACATTCCCCGTGTTAGATCCAGCCACCGGAGAAGAAATCGCGAAGGTGTCAAACTGCGGTACTAAGGAAGCTCAAGACGCTGTCAATGCTGCATACAAAGCGTTTCACCTGTGGAAGAGTCATACAGCCAAGGTAAAATTAATATGTGTGGGAAATGTTATTATTTTGCAGGGTTGTTATTATTAAAACTCTTCTGCATTAGACTTAAATATTTTCAAGAACGAACCGGTGCGTTAACCATATTTACTACATTTTTTTAATGGTAATATCATTGCGCTTTGATATTTCACACACCGTGTTATTTACATGGTAGTTTACTCAAAGGTATCTGAAGTTCCACTTTTTCCACTCATTATTTAGAAAAGTGTTTATTTTAGTTTACAATTTTCCTCCCTTGAAAACAGGTCATATTTCTCCCGAAAATAAATAAAAATGTAACCTATATGTTGCATAATATTATATAAGTCTATTTACATAGTGTTGCAGTTGCACTAATACATTTATTTATTCAGCAAGGATGCATTAAATAAAAAAAGCACTTTTGAACTTTCTATTCATCAAAGAATCCTAAAAAAAATTACCAGTTCCTTCAAAAATATTAAGCGGAACTGTTTCTTGAGCGCCATTGCAGCATATTAGAATTAGAAATTGTAATAATATTTCAGTTTTTTTTTTTTTAATAAACAAAGTTACAATTTAATTTGATATAAAATCATTTCTCATATTGATTTCTCTCTACAGGAAAGAAGCATTTTGTTGCGGAAATGGTTCGATCTCATCATTCAGCACAGGGATGATCTTGCCAAGTTGATCACAGCAGAGTGTGTAGGTGTACTGACCTATTATTACATGCAGTGTACAACTTCTTAATGTGTTCATTTACAATCATCTGTTATATAACACGTGTGTACAGGGGAAGCCCATGAAGGAGTCTCTTGGAGAGATTACATATTCTGCCTCCTTTCTGGAGTGGTTCTCTGAAGAGGCCAGACGTGTATATGGAGATATTGTCGCACCTTCAGCCAAGGACCGCAAGATCCTGTTACTCAAGCAACCGGTGGGAGTGGCTTCAATCATCACACCTGTGAGACTTCCTTCTTCGTTCTGATAACATAACACCATCCGGATCAATGAGCTGAACTAAAACTGCCAGTTGTGATTTTCAACTTTCTCTCCATACAGTGGAATTTCCCCAGTGCCATGATAACCAGGAAGGTGGGTGCCGCACTTGCGGTGGGCTGTACTGTAGTGGTGAAGCCGGCTGAGGACACACCTCTCTCTGCTCTGGCCCTTGCTGAGGTCTGTTGGTTTCCATAAAGCCTGACATTAAACTAGTCTGCATTATAGATACACTAGTAACGGTTCAAAAGTTTGGAGTCAGTAAGACGTTCCACTCACGTACCAGTTGAACAATGTTTGCTCAAATCCTGCTCTGAATGAAATTTCTATGTATTATTAAACTCTTCGTCTTTCTGTTTGTAATAAATTTCTTGAATACATTTCTCAATTACAGTAGGCCTGTAGATAACATGAATAATGATAACTATAGTTACTAGGAAATAGGAACTATACTCTCATTCCTGCGCAATAATCAGGAAACTTTACTGGCGTAATGATATGACGCAGCGCCTGAAAATAGTGCGCAACGTGACCGGGACTAAGTTTGTGTAGTCATTTCGACTGAATAGTGCCGAATTGCAGAGCTGATGCAAATCTTATCGACCCCAAACTTTTTGAAAGGTAATGTACATGATAGAATTTATAATCTATTGTATTCCTATCTAGTTGTCGGTTCAGGCTGGCATCCCTCCAGGGGTGTTTAATGTGGTGCCCTGCTCAAGAGAAAAGACCCCTGCTGTGGGAGAGCTGCTCTGCACGGACCCTCTAGTGGCCAAAATCTCATTTACCGGCTCCACGGCCACTGGCAAGGTGGAGCCATCACCCCGACATCTTGTGTATGTGTGCAGTCAACATTTAATGTTCGCCATAATTTAGTAATTGCCTATGTAAATGCTTTTGCAGATACTACTAAGACATGCTGCAGGAACGGTCAAAAAGGTCTCCATGGAGTTAGGAGGACACGCCCCCTTTATTGTATTTGACAGTGCAGATGTTGATAAAGCCGTTGCTGGAGCGATGGCCTCCAAATTCAGGAACTCAGGCCAGGTGAATGTTATTTCAAGTCATTTTAAATCGCAATAATGTACACAATAAAGTTTTGTTGTAAATTCAGAAATAATCTGCTAGCATGAATGAATTCTTTTTAATTTAAATAAATATAGTTGTATAGTATTTGAACAATAAGTTCTCACTCGTAACGCATCTTGTACTCACCTCTGCTGTAGACCTGTGTGTGCTCCAACCGCTTTTTGGTGCAGAGTGGGATTCACGATGCTTTCATGGAAAAGCTGGCGAAGGCTATGGATGGCGAGCTGAAGATTGGCCACGGCTCAGAGCCCACCACCACACAGGGGCCGCTCATCAACACCCGTGCCGCAGAGAAGGTGCCTCATGTCACTGTCAATCAGAGCACTGAAACACACAGATAGATCATGTGAAGGAAATTTGGTTGAGATGAAAGGATTTAATGCTGTTGTTTCTCTCAGGTGGAGGGTCAGGTTGCAGATGCTGTGGCACAGGGAGCAGTCATAGTTCGAGGTGGGAAGAGGCTGGAGGGCTCCTTCATGCAGCCCACCCTGCTGTCCAATGTCACCACTGACATGCTCTGTATGCGGGAGGAGACCTTTGGACCTCTTATTCCTGTTGTTAAGTGAGTATTTACAGGTTGTTGTATTATGTAAGTTGTTGTTAACCTCAAATGTAGTCATTTAAAGAGTTCACCCAAAAATGAAATTTATGTCATTAATGACTCATCCTCATGTCGTTCCAAGCCCATAAGACCTCAGTTCATCTTTGGAACACAGTTTAAGATATTTTAGATGTAGTCTGAGAGCTTTCTGTCCCTCCATTGAAAATGTATGTACGGTATACTGTCCTTGTCCAGAAAGGAAATACAGACATCATCAAAGTAGTCCATGGGAGACCAGTGGGTAAGTTAGAATGTTTGAAGCATCGAAAATACATTTTGGTCCAAAAATAACAAAAACTACGACTTTATTAAACATTGCATTCTCCTCCGGTTCTGTTGTTCATTTTCTTTTTCATTACATTTATATATCTACAGATTTCATTATATTATCAACATAATTTGAGTGAAAAGTTTTATTTTTATTTATTTTACTTTTATTTAAAAGTTTTCATTTATTTTTATGAAAATATTTAGATTTGATCAAATTAAAATCATAACATGTTTTGTGAATAGGTTGTAATGTGAGACATGTTTCAGTGTGAATTATTTAACATTTCTGGTTGAGTCTTCCACCAGCTGCTGACTTTTTTTTTTTCTTCTTCTTTTTCAGGTTCAACACAGAACAGGAGGCACTTGCTATTGCCAATGCTTCTCCTGTTGGTTTAGCAGGTTTGTCCATCTGTTCAAATTAGTCAAATTATTTTTTTTGGACAGTCTTGAGATTGGCCATTTTTTCTCGCATACCTGTTTATTTATTATCAGACATGGCTGAAAACATTATTACGAGTGTTTCTTATTGTTTGAAAGGATTGTACAATAGACTACATGATAACTTTGAATATATATATATATACACACACTACCGGTCAAAAGTTTTAGATCAGTAAGATTTTTTATGTTTGTAAATTAAGTCTCTTCTGCTCACCAAGACTGCTTTATTTGATGAAAAATAAAATGACAAACAGTAATATTGTGAAATATTATGACAATTTAAAATGACTGTTTTCTATTTTAATATATTTTAAAATGTAATTTGAAAGCTGAATTTTAAACATCATTACTGTTGCTGATTACACATCAGTTTTCAGTGTCACATGATCCTTCAGAAATCATTCTAATATGCTGATTTATGCTCAAAAAACATATGTTAAACAGTCGTGTACCATTTTTCCCCAAAAATTCTATGATGAATAGAAAGTTCAAAAGAACAGCATTTATTTAAAATATAATCTTTTCTAACATTATAAATGTCTTTACTGTAACTTTTGATCAATTTAACTCATCCTTGATGAATATTCTAATTTCTTTCCTCCAAAAACAAAAAATAAATTCTTACTGACCCCAAACTTTTGAATGGTAGTGATTAATGTTACAAAAGCTTTCCATTTCAGATCAATTCTGTTCTTTTGAACTTTTTATTCATCAAAGAATCCTGAAATAAAAATGTAAAAAACTGTTTTCAACTTGGATAATAATCATAAATGTTTCTTGAGTATCATATTATAATAATTTCTGTAGGATCATGTGACACTGAAGACTGGAGTAATGCTGGGTGTGACACATTTCTTGTCAGAATAATGTGCAAAAAACCTTGACCCAGCGTATAACTAACTTTACAGAATAGACTGGGCTGATGTGTAAAACTATACTCAGGGTTTATCATAAACATGATACTATATAAAATATAACTCAGGGCTCAATATTAAAGGGGGCATATAATACCATTTTTGTACAAGCTAGTATGATTCTTTAGGGTCTAAATTAAAAGTTTGTAATATACTTTAATTAAAAATTCTTATTAGTATTGTAAGTAAACACTTATTTTACCTGGTCAAAAACAGCTCTTTTTTCAGCATACCGTTTCAGTGCATAGCCTATGCCTTTAAATGATAATGAGCTCTACTGACTCCGCCCCTCTTTTCTGTGCGTACACCCTTTGTAACACATAAGGCATTATTATACCATAACGCATTGTTTATTATAAACTTGGGATTATGAATTATATTGAGAACGTCGTACATAGAAAACATGCCTTTATGTACCCTGACTGTAAACTGACGCATTTATCGTGAAGCGTGCAAGTGATTTGCAAACATTAATATAAATAATATATTATTATTATTATTATTATTTTATCATATATTATGTAACCACAAAAATCACATTTTCCTTTGCACCCTAATATATCTCTATGGTCAAGTGAGAGCACCCCATTAGAGGGCTGTAAATAAAGCAAACAAGAACAGCTAGCTCTTGTCTTTTTCATTGGCATAGGATTCAAAACTGTTTTTTTTTTTGTTTTTTTTCTTCAAAAGGTTACTTTTACTCCAGAGACATCAGTCAGATCTGGCGAGTGGCCGAGCAGATGGAGGTGGGCATGGTCGGGGTCAACGAAGGTCTGATCTCTGCCACAGAAGCCTCTTTTGGTGGAATCAAACAGTCTGGACTGGGCAGAGAAGGATCCAAATATGGCATTGATGAGTATCTGGAAGTAAAGTACATGTGTTTGGGTGGACTCTCTCCTTGAAGACAATGGTTACTAGTGGTTAAAACAAAAAATACAACTGTAGTGTGGCATTATCTAAGCAAGACCATCATAAAAACATAATCTACAAAACACTGAACCATTCTCTCTTTTAGTCAGTAACTGAATTTTGACTGTAAGAATTAATGTTCTGAAAGAGCGGAGACATTTTGATGACTAGTAGATATTTGCTGTAAAAAAGGGTTGGTACAAATTGCCCTCTTTCATATTCTGTCCATCTTAACTGATTTAAGTAACCTAGTTGCTCTGAAAAACAGACTTAACATACACTGCAAAAAATAAAATCTTTATTTTTATGTTAAAATAGCTAAACATCTTAAAAACAAGACAAACCTATTTTTGTGTAATTATGTAAGATGAGAGTTCTTTTGTGAATTATTTTTTACCCAGTTTCTTTTTTCTTTTCGCGGTGTAGCTGATTCTTAAAAGCAAACCCAATTTATGATTACGGAGGAGGTACAAATATAGGGATTGGGGGTTGATCCAGTGAAAAATAAAAGCACAACCTTTCTGAAAAATGCTATTCCAGAGTGTAAATGTTAAACTTACTAAGTGTTCTATTTTTGTAAATTTAGAAATAGAGTAAGAATGCTTAACTTGAAACATTGGCTGCTTAAACTGTTCTGATTTGAGGTATTGAAGTATAGAGATTTGTTTAGTAAGTTAACAAAGTTGTCATTGTGGCCAAATGTTGTGCCAATGTATTTTTTTTAATGAAACTGTCCTCAATTTTAGTGTTTTTTTTATTGTTGTAAATATTAATTGATATACCTAATTATATTGTAAACTGTGTATGTTTAGAAATATAAATTTTCGTACTTTGGATTGAAATGTTTGGCGATAAGTGCATGAAGATGTAAAGACTAATAAATAGGCCTACAGCTGAAACTTTAACTCTGGAAATTTTAACTTCTACTATTAGTGATGAAATGGCTCAACTAAACTAAGAAAATGCACACTGTTTCATGATTTTTCTGAGACTGCTACTATAAATATTGAACTCCTATTTTAGTTATAAAACAGTCTTAATCTCTGTAAAGGGCCACGTCTTTATTTATTTTCATAAACAATATGGCTTCACAATATGCCTGGTCCAAATGGCTTTTATTGCAATTCCAGCAGAAGCAGAAATTTTAATAGCTTGTAAAACCAGAACGTTAAAAAGATACAGTACAGTATCAGAGACGAGACTGAGATACCAAAAAATCATAACAAAATGAAGCGCATTTTAGTCAGGCACACATTAACATTCAAAAAGTTCAGTACAGTTAAAATGTTCTTGCATAAAGAAGATTGAGATTTGCTTTCTTTTTTAATTTTGCTTTTCTAATAGATCAGTTGTTTGCAGCTTCTCCCTAAAATTGATCATTGAAGCATCATATAAATTGCAAAATAACCAGTCAATTGCTTGCACTGTGTCACTGAACATACAAGCATTATTGAGCACATACAGTACCGAAGAAAACTGTGATTGTGTGAGTTGAACGCACGTCTTTTTATATTCAGATTGTATAACTATAAGGCAACTAAAAATCTAAAATGTACTGAATCCTTGAGCAAACCATGATTATTCACTGTAAGACCAACTTCATTTAGTAGTCATTAGCTCATTCATTCATTTCAGCCAGTCTTTATCTATATTTGTGGAATATTCAACAATACCGTCACGTTTTAAATATCCACCATGAAGAAATGTCTTTGTCCATGTGAGACTCAACCCTCCACAGGACAAAGGCTGAGAGTGTCTCCATTTCTGACCACTCCATTGGCTCTGTTCCGAGCTTTATCGGCTCTCCCATAGTTGAAAATGTTTTCCTGCTCACTGTCCAGCTCTGATTCTGACATCATCAGACTCGAGTTGTGCTCTGTGCTCCTGTGTTTAATATCTAAAATGACAAACAAAGAAAAGAGAATGCAGAATTAACTACAATTACAAACCTAATGGCCAGCCTCTAAAAAAAAACAATAAACAAGTGAAAAAAATGAGTGCAAGAGTGTCTTTATTCCTCCCTCCAGAAAATATTGCTGAAACTTACTATACTTTGGCTGAAGTTCCATCCTCTCCTGTTCATCCATGTTGTCCAGTATTGTGTACTTGGTTTTCTTTCTCACTTTAGTGCGTCTTCCTCTAAAGCTAAAGCACAAAACAAAGGGTAGAGTATAGATTATACATACTCTACCACAAGTACACAAACTCACCATTATGTCATTGTTTCTCATGGAACAAAAAATGCTCACTAATGAAAGTGAATGATTAAAAATGGACCAAAAATATAAATGCAGTCCATACAGAACAACCTGTGCTCTACATTCAAAGTCAACTTAACTTAGCTTTGACAAAAGTCTAAAAGTGGCAAAATGGACTACTTTTATGATGCTTTTTTATTGTTCCCGAGGTTTAAAAAAATGTATATTCACTGTTCTTGCATGGATATATGGATAATAGCAATTAATACATAATTCAAAAGAAGTTATATGGGTTTGAAACAACATGAGGGTAAGTAAACTATCCCTTGTTACTGTACATGAGAATGACAACACATGTATGACCACACATTTCAATAGGCCGTTTGTTGAGTTTGTTTTATCATAGAATCTTAAGCTAATCTTAGTAAATATCACCTTTTACAGCAGCAGATGCAAATCCAGCTGATTGACAAGAGGAAAATGATTGTCGCCAAACAAGAGATTGTGACATACAACACGCTCCAGTCTGCAGAGAGGAGACAAAATATCAGCCCTCAGCCTTCCACTGCTGTCAGTCATTCTTGATTTTTCATGACAGCCCATCAGAAATATCACTATATAATTTACCACAGCAAAAAGCATCAATCATGGTGTGGTCACGTTAGCAACGTTTTGTAGGAATAAAACGTCCATTGAAATGAAGCACAGTTCACAAAAAAACATCAATTTCCAACCAAACCAGCTTTGCAATCCTAATTTGAACCCAATGCAAAATCTACATCAGGAAACTCCCACTTGCGCAAATTGATTTTAGATACAAAATTTCACACAGACACAGCAGGTGACCACACCTAAAGTCTGAATTTGCTTATATGTTATTTAAAATGTCTCATTTACATACTTGCCTTATTTTGGAGATAGAATAGAGAGGTCACACTAACCGCAATTGCTCTCGCCATCTTCAAGGAAACGGCGAATGGGGTTTTCCATCCAAAGAGGGTCACAGGAACAGCTCTTTGTAACAGGGTCACACTGACCACGTCCAGAACACAGCAGCAAACACACTGAAATATTCAAGTCTGCATTAAACGTTTTCATTTATTATATAAATTGCTTGTACCAAATTTGAAAAATGTCTTTAAAGAAAACAAATCAGGTCACTCACTGACTGTGTCCACTCTTAAGACCTTAAAGAGGAGGAAGTCGGTTTTCTCTCGCATCAGCTGGTTTCTCAGCAGACGAGTGAGCTTTGGGCCTGGGATCGTACCATCAGGACCCTGCACTGAGAACCTAAATACTGTGCTAAACATAAAAAAAAACCCTGTTTAGGCTTTAACTAAACTATGGTTTGTTGCTTAATTTAAGAACAACACAAGTCAAAGTGGAGTTGTCCTTTGTATTAGTTTGGTTAATGTGTGTGTAGTACCTGATGTCTGACTGGCCGTGCAGGCCCTTCAGTGCAATGTCTGAGTCCAGAACGTGCAGTAAGGCGGCCAGCTGTCTCACTACAGTGTCCTTCTGCAGCTGGCTGACCTGAGCCACACACACCTGCAGCTCAAGCTCCACCTCCTCTCGCTCACGTTGATCTGCACACAAATATCAATGGTTAACACAAAAGTTTAGGCTTTTATTCACATTAACATTGCGAGAACCAATGAGGTTCATTGTCATGTGTTAAGCAGCCGTTTGGTTTTTTCTCACAGGTTTGGTTGAGCTTCTGTTTATGTCGGCTGATCAGTGTTTATATGTTAATAAAAACCTAAATTCAATCTGTTCATCAAAATTTGGAAAATTTGGACTAAACCGCTCGATTCACATGGATTAGTTCTACAATTTCTTTATGATCTTTTTGAAGCGTCAAATTGGTAGTTGCGTAGATGTCAATGGAGGGACATAAAGCTCACAGATTTCATCAAAAAGATCTTCATTTGTGTTCAGAAGATGAACGAAAGCCTTACGGGTTTGGCTATAGTTTTCATTGGGTAAACTATCCCTTTAAATGTTTACATGAAGGTAGACATATTCTGATAAGGTTTGTTTAAGGATAACATCATTCTAATGTTATTTCTGACTACCATTCAAAAGTTTGTAGGTTCATTTGTAAAATTTAATTTTTTTTAAAGAAATTGATTATTTTATTCTACAAGAATGCATTAAATTGAGCAAAGGTCACAATAAAGACATTTACGATTAGAAAAATATGCTGTTCTTTTGAGATTTATATTCATCAAAGAATCGTGAAAAAAGAGAGGCTGCTCACTGCAAAGCCAAAGGTGGAGTGTGAAGTCCAGCTCCCCCTTTCTTGATGTCATTTGGGTGCAATGGGTTGAGCAAGAAGCTCCAAACACACCCTAATCCTACCCATAACTCCAGTGATGTAGTGGTGCCTGGAGAAGTGGGTATACTCTTAATTTATGCCGCCAATATTTTTTTTAAGCGTCCCAGCAAAGGTGTGTTATAAACAGTGACATGTAAGACTACTAGTCTTGCATTAGTATTCAATATGCAAGACTATAGAATGGAGTATAATGAATACAATAGAACACATAGAATCAGTATTCTTGCATATCAGGGCCGCACATATGGTTTTCTAAATACCCAGGTGCCTGCCAGGTCCCTATTGTTAGGGGGGTTCGGGGGCATGCCCCCCCGAGAAAATTTTGATTTTCCTGATCTCGAAATGAGCATTTTAAGGTGTTTTGATGGCCAAAAAAATTGACAACAATAGCTGTAAAAGCATGAAGTAGCCTATTTGATCAGATTCTTAAACATGAGAATCAGTTCCAGTTTCAGCGACTTTTCTTTCCTAAATTAATCAATGTTTTTTGGACTAATCTGTTAATTTAATTAATGGTTCAATTGCTCACTCAAAAAGACAGTCACTTGTCGCCACCCTCTGGCTTAATGATGCAAGTGGCGCAAACACAGACAAGCGGAGTTATACAAGCAGTGAAAACTCAAACACATTCGAAAAAACGTTATACAAATATATTTATACAATAATAATGGCAATATATTTAATAGGGTGCTTGTGTTGTTAAATTCAGCTTATAATTTCCACTGCCTTTAATCAAACTGATTATTTCTGTCGGTCATTTAAAACGTCTATTGAAAAACAGCCGTAAATTTGTGCTACGTGCATCTTATCTCGCACTGTATGATGGTAAATGAATTGAAGTGTCGCGTTGGGACTCGCGCTCGGCTCGCGCTTCTATGAACAAAAATACTGCATTCTTTGATTGCTCTCACGAACATTTTGATATCGAGCAGGTGAGTGCTAAAGCAGATCAGATGAGAAGGTCAGTTATCGTCGCGATGGGAGAATCATTGCAGCAACAAATTAGAGTTAATATTACGGATACGACTCTAACTGGGTGGGTTTTTTTATTCACGAAATTGGATTAGCAACTAAATGATGCGCATCAGAGGGGATTTAGAAGTGGGTATACGCAATGCCGACTGAAAAGGAAGTGGGTATACGCCGTATACCTGCGTATACCCTGCACTACACCACTGCATAACTCTATGCCTTCATCCATTAGAGGTGAAACTGACTAGGGCTCAAGCTCAACCCCATGACGTCCAGAGAAAATATTAAGCAGCACAACTGTTTTCAACATTGATAAGACGTCTTACTTGAGCACCAAATCAGCTTATTATAATAATTTTTATTTGAAAAGAAAAGAAAAAAAAAAAACTGAATACTGTATTTTTAATCAAATACATGCGAAATAATAAAAAAAATCTTACCAACCCCAAACTTTTGAACAGCAGTGTATTCTTAGCCTATAAGACATGCCAAATAAATGATGCATTTTATATATCTAGCAACTGTTTTCTACAATGAATGAGTAATATCTTACCAGGGCGTACTTCCACAGTGGCCGTAGCCATGTTCGAGCGGCCCTGGGCATCAGTGACCCGGAGTTGGAATAGATACGTTCCTTCTACCAGATTGGCGAGGTAAAGGGAGGCCTCGTGATCTGAGCCATATAAAACATCCTACTCTCAAAAGATATGAAAACAAGAGAGAGAGAGAGCAATAGAGATCATCAGGTAAAACACTGAGCCACAGCAAATGGTGTACAAATAACTCGCTCACCCCAGCAGCAGGACTCTGTTCATCCCGGACCCAAAGAAAGGACACGTTTGCTGTTCCGCTGTTGGACACCGAGCCTCTGAGCACCAGAGAGTTGTTGGGGAGAGTGAGCGTGTGGCTGCCGCTGGCATGGGCGACTAGTGGAAGGCTTTTGACTGTGAATTTAACAACACACTGAATTGTTGGAAACGCTTTTTATCAGAATATCTATTGTATTGTCATTTTAAGTCAGACAACCTTCTTTTTTGTGAAATATTTCACTTGAAAGGTGAAAAAAATGGTCTCAAAATAGTCACACTTCGCAGTCAAAAATGCCTGGATTGGAAATGAATGGGCAACGAATTTCATCTGGTAGTGCGTCCAAAAAAATCTTACTGAAAACTCATTTTTTGAGATATCAACCTTAAATTTTTAACACACATTGTTTAGATTTATGGATTTAGTTTTCTAGCAGTTTTAAAGTAAAACATGTTTTAGACAATATATATTTCATATTTAAAAAAATTGTGCATTTTTCATTTCAACATTTTATAACTTTTTTTCACTTCAGCAATAATCTGTCAAGAGTAACTTTAAACCAAACTTAAGTATGTGCTGCAAAGCATTCAAGATTTATTACAGTTTAAGTTGGATATTTAATTTTTAGGACTATGCTGAAAAAGTGTATGGATTACATAAATATCATCATAAAATCTGCTTAAAAATACAAAATGTTAAATAAAAACCATAACTAAAATATAGTACATTCATTTTATGGAAATTAAAATAAATAAATAAATAAATCGTTCATTTTTGACCATCATGCTAAGAGCTCCTATACGTAAATTCCAATTGGATTTTCTGTAATGCAATGACATTCATGCATTTAAATGTCAGTGTTTAAATGATAGAAATGCATATTATGTGTTATTTATATATAAACATTTACATAACTCTGCTCACCTTCTTTAATGCTAATGGTCAGGACTGCGCTGTCTGTTTCTCCTTGCTGATCTGTCACAGTCAGTTTGATCTTGTAATTCCCAGATCTCAGGCCAGTTGCTATGGCAACTGCTTTACTGGCATCTTTTATCTTCAAGCCTGGAGGGCCACTTCACCATTACATAGGAGAGTGGTGATGGCACATCAATACAATTTTCACCAAAATCCTTTCCTATTCATGCAACACTAAGGGTGATTGAAAGATGTTAAAGATCTTAAAGACAACATGCCACATTTGTCCAGTCAGTTTCAATGAACTGGTTTAAAACATATGATTTAATGGTTCTTTAACATTTCAGTGCTTTCCAGATGTCCTGTGAGATTGTGTGCTTTAAATGTATTTTTTAAACATATTATAATAAAATGCCTGTGTACCGTACGGTTCAAAGGTTTGTGGTCAATACAATTATATAAAAAGTAAATTAATGCTTTTATTCAGCAATGATGCATTCAACCGACAGTAAAGATGATTTATATTATTACAAAACATTTCAATGTCAAATAAATGCTCTTCTTTTGAACTTTCTATTCATCAAAGAATCTTGAACAAACACGTCATGGTTTCCCCAAAAACATACTGTTTTCAATATTACTACTAATAAGAAATGTTTCTTGAGCAATGTTTCTTTAAATGTATTTACAAACAAATAATTTGGTTCATGAACCATCTCATCCAGTTCATTGTAAAGAAACAACATTAAAAGAATGATACTGGTACCTGATCATGTCCCATTGGTAGCTGCTGATGGCCTGATCATCGGTGCTGTCGCTGCCATTCAAAGTGATGCTGTCGACTGGGAGGAAGAGTTGCCTGTCTGGCCCTGTTATAGCGACTGGTGCTTTGTTTGCTACCACACAACAAAATTTCAATTATGAAGAATGTATAGATTTTCTTTATACACACTGAATCTGATTGGTGTAGTGGGTTTGTTTTACCAGGTAGCACAGTGACTGAGATGGTGTCTGAATCCTGTTGACCTATGGAGTCAGTGACCGTCAGTTGAAACGTGTACCGACCCTCCTGGAGATCAGAGAGCTGCAGGAAAGGTGATCTCACATCCTGAAAACACATAGCATATGAAAACATCAACTGCTCTATAATTATGTCTATCAATTACCATTTCAGACATATCTGACTGTTGGTGATTCTATGGCCATCTCTTGCCATTCACAAGATATTGTCCATGAATTGGGGCAGGTCTTGGGGTAGGTCGACTTGGGACTCACACACACACAATTTAGCATCTTGAAATCACTAATACTGCATGTTTTTTGATTGAGCAGTGCCGCCTAGAATTATGTCAATTGTTCAATAATCAATTGTTTCTCAAAGGTAGCAATGAGATTAAATGGAGAGAATTTTAGACTTTAGCTTTATTTTCATGATTTTTTTGATTTTCAGAAGAGACTGCATGCGTCATGTTATCATTTATAAAATGAAACATTGAATCATATAAAATGAAAAATGTAATTATTTATATCCAGTATTTGACAACAATCTATTTTGAACATATTATAGTTGCCATTAAGATTAATTGTCTCATTTATTTCTGTTTTCTATTTAACTTTATTGTACATTACATGCCCATAGAGTATACTGAACTGAGGTTAGGCTATTGTAATTACTGTAGTAAGTACATAGTATGAACATGGGGAACCGGACTGTAAAATACAGTTCGGTTACACATTTTTTTTTAAGGTGTCATTGTTACAATGTAATTATATATTTAAGCACTGAGTAAGCAACTACATGTTCTTACTATAGAGTTAGGGTAGGATTAAGATTTAGTTGAGACCGTTTTTTTTTTCTTGTTGTTTGTGTTTTTCTTTGGTTTATGGTTAAAAAAAAATGTCTTATCACTAAGGGGTTTCAAGGAAAATCAGTTATGACTGTCTTTGAACATCGGTTGTACTGTAAAATTCATACTGTGGGAAAAATAACAATAAAAAATATAAATGATAAAAAAAAGATTTAGTTGAGGGTTAGTCGCATGTAATTATGCATAATTTACTGTTATTACTATATGGAAAGTACATGAAATGTACCATAATTAACAAGGACACTGTAAAATAAAGTGTTACCTAAAGTTCTACCTTGTTTTCCAATTTGTCTAATTTATTTCTATCTTTTATTTCTTCTTTGGAATTTTAGGATAAATACCTGAGGCGTTACTGACAAACTCCAGTAAGTGTTCTTCACTTCAGAGCAACCCATTTTTCCACGGAGTAAAATAAAGATCTAATTACCTGCATAGTGACTTTCTGGGTCAGGCTTCTGGGATGGAGACTCCAGAGGTAACTGGTAATGGCATGGTCATCAGTGCTGTGGTTACCCGACAAGGTGAGGTGGTTGAGAGGCAGGGTGATGACCTGGTCACTGCCTGGTCTGGCCCGAGGAGGGTCATCTTTTGGGCTGCTGACCCTTACAGTGGCAATGCTGGAGTCAGTCAGTCCATCAGAATCAGACACTGTCAGCCTAATGTAGAACAAGCAAAAACCAGGTCAGGATCAAGTTAATGAGGTCAAGCCAAATTAAAAAAGCCCCGGAGGAATTGCCCACCAAAGATTTCAACATGAAAATTATATAATACATAGGCCCATTGTTACAGTACAAACTTAGGTAAGTCCTTATGTAATGTGCAGACGTAGGCCAGTAAGCAGTGTGTGTGCGCCCACACCCACACTGGAATCCCATTTGTAACAAGTCGAGTATGAGAGGTTAAACTTACTTGAAGGTATATTCTCCTGGAGAAAGATTCTGTAGCTGTAGTACAGGTGTGTCAACAGGCCCCTCAGGTTTCCAAAAAGGGCCGTCCACCTTTTCCCATAGGTAACTGACAACTTCAACATCATCCACACTCTCTGGGAAGCATCAGGATGCACATTTGGTTAAAAACTCAAGAATGATCTAAAGAAAAAAACTGATATAAATGGACAAAACAAGCTACATTACATACGACTGCCATTAATAATGAAGATGGAACCTTCTTGGAGAAGCACAACTTGGCTCATGGGCAGACTGACGGCTTTAGGGGGCTTATTTATATCCAATGCTGCAAAATGAAAAGCCTGTTCATATATAAAGCAGCACATGCACATACTGTATGCTTGGCAAATACACTAATTTCAAATTATGATCTTAATAGGGTGAAGTTATACCAGGGTGTACTGTGAAGTTCACAGCACTTTCTCCAGACGCTTGTTGTGCTTTCACACTCACTCGGACAGCATAGACACCAACGGAAAGCTGGAATAAAGCAAACAAAGATGTTTTTAGAAAAAGAACATAGTCTAACCTTCTAAATGAGTTAAGGAGTTGAGTCTCACTTCTGAAAGTTTAATAGACTTGTTGTGGTGCCCCTCCATCACCCTGTGGTGTCCATCAGGAGCAGTTACCAAAGTCCACTCATATGTGTAAGGAGCCTCTAAGGAAAAAGCCACTGTCATCATAATATTAAATGCTTAATTACGATTCAGGAATGCAGAAGGCCATTCAGTACCTGAAGTGTCATCTGGATTAACAGTAGCAATAAGTTCAACTGTATTTTGAGGCAGTGTTGCTTCCACAGGTCCTTTAATGGACACAGACAGGGCTCTTTCTGAACAAAGAGAGTGTGTGAAATGATAGTTAATCTGAGGAATAATAATAGTGATGCCTGCTTGCATGAGTAAGCACCACTGATAATTCGAAATAAAGCAGTAACACATCTGTAGTACCTGGCTCTTCTGTGATCATGTGTGATGTGTCTTCAGTGCTGAGTGAAGTAGTTAAGAAACTACTGAACCTCGAGGGCTCTGTGCTGATGTCTTGCAGGACATTAGGTGGAGTAGTTGCAGAAGAAATGTTGTGTGGGTCTTCTTCAACCTTTGATGATAAAAGAAACATTGTTTTCCAAACTCTACTGTTGTCACCAATGTCGACCAGAGTCGGTGGACTAGTACAGGACACCAGAACAAGGCAATAAAATGTGAATGACATGACTCTAACAGGATAATGATGAAGTGTTATTTACAAATTGCACAAGATTTAAAACAGCAGATGAGACATGAAAGACTGATTAAGCACTTGGCCAGAGTGAGAGAACATTTGAGACACCATGTTTTCCAATGACAGCACAATATTAAAATAGAATCATGACATTTCAAGACACGATAATGAATTGGCAACTAATAACATCTATAAGAGAAAAGCCAGTTCCTTTCATTCTTGATGGCTGCCAACCGCCTTGTCAATTGTTTAACTTATACTGTGATTGACCCCCTTTCGCCTTCAGAACTGCCTTGATTCTACGTGGCACTTATTCAACAAGGTGCTCAAAGCATTCTTTAGAAATGTTGGCCCATATTGATAGGATAGCATCTTGCAGTTGATGGAGATTTGTGGGATGCACATCCAGGGCACGAAGCTCCCGTTCCACCACATCCCAAAGATGCTCTATTGGGTTGAGATCTGGTGACTGTGGAGGCCATTTTAGTACAGTGAACTCATAGTGAAACGATTCGAGCTTTGTGACATGGTGCATTATCCAGCTGAATGTAGCCATCAGAGGATGGGTACATGGTGGCCATAAAGGGATGGACATGGTCAGAAACAATGCTCAGGTAGGCCGTGGCCGCGGCCATTTAAATGATGACCAATTGGCACTAAGGGGCCTAAAGTGTGCGAAGAAAACATCCCCCCACACCTTTACACCACCACCAGTCTGCACAGTGGTAACAAGGCATGATGGACCCATGTTCTCATTCTCTGTTTACACCAAATTCATCTGAATGTTTCAAAAGAAATCAAGACTCATCAGACCAGGCAACATTTTTTCCAGTCTTCAACTGTCCAATTTTGGTGAGTTCTTGCAAATTGTAGCCTCTTTTTCCTATTTTTAGTGGAGATGAGTGGTAGCCCATCCTAAATTGTTATTAAATTGCTACTTTATTACAATTTAAAATAGCAAAGCTAAATTTTCAGCAACCATTACTACATCATTTTAATTGTCACATAATCCTTCATAAATCATTCTAATATGCTGATTTTGTGCTATTTATATATATATATATATATATATATTAGAAATATATAATTACTGTATAATACTCAATATATTGTAAGCCTATATTATACATACAAATAGTCCACAGTTGAGAACAGTTGTCTGCCCAATATTTTTGTGGAAACCATGATACACCCTCATGTCTAATGTGTAAAAAAAATGATAAAAGTATTAATTTCTTTCAAAAATAGTCTGACCCAAACTATTTTAAAATAGTGTCTGTTTTTCTCAATGTCTTTAGGGTGTCTGGAAATAGTATGCATTAATCTGTAACCAACACTCACCGTTATGTTAAGTGCAGTGGTTGTTTGGGGCGTAACATCAGATTCTGCTTCAATAAGAGATGATCTGCTTTCATTTCTCATTTCTGGGAAGTGATTTGAGGGAAAGGAGCTACTTTCAAGAGAGCCCTGCACTGTCATCGGTCTTTCACCAACTCTCTCCGTTTCTGATTGGTTGAATTCTTCTTTTCGTTGAACAAGCGGCCAAGGATATAGCCCAGGGCTTTCTTCTTGTTCTACAGTTGTGCCATCGCTGTCTTCAGCTCTTTTTTCTTCATCCAAACTTCGAAAGCTCTCAACATATTCAGCATCAGTGTTGTCCAAATCTTGAATGCCTTCCACCAAGGCAAGGTCTTTCATTGGATCCTCAGAGCCCTTGTGCCTGAGCAGAGGCTGCCAGTGGTTTGGGAAAGACTCTCCTCGGACCAAGGATTGGAGAACCAGTGTCTGCGGGGGCCCACGTTGCAAAAAGGCCAGGAGAGAGTCAGTACCAGGTCTTTGCTTCGGCTGGCAATTTTCTTTTCGCTGACAACTGAGCACATAGCATCGGTGCTCAAAAAACCAGGCCAGGTCACAGCCCAGGAGACCACAGCAGGCCCTCGCACACTGGGCCATAGACGATACATCCGGAACCCGTAAAGTACTGCTGCTCCTCAGATCCGGAGACACCACGCTCTCCGTGTAGATCGCAGCCTGCCAGCACTGTCCCGATACTGCATCAAAAACAAACAACAAATGCCTGGTGAAATAAATTTAGGGTTTGTCATTTTTGATACAGTAGTCCAAAAACGACATTACACAACCAAGCCCCTACAATATACATTTATGGAAAAAATTATGTGCATTCATCACCTAGTTTTTTCTCTCAGTGTCTTCATGTCCTCAAAGTATGTTTAATTGGCAGCTTACTAAATAATTTTGCATTTCCTGGACTGAAGCTACTTAGGTTTCCTTGGTTAATCATACATTATTTTTTTTAATCATTCTCATTGACTGTGAGCTCCCTGCTCTCACTATATCATACTATATGCCTGAAGTATCAATTATGATAAAACTTTTCAACTTGTAGAAATATATACTTGCCTCTGGTACAGAAGAGCAGCACAAGTAAGAGAACTGGTGAGACATTCATGATGACACTGCTGCCTTTTCACAGCAATGGATCTTGACCGTCATTACCTCATCAAACTTTCCATAAAGAGGAGACAAAACAGGGTATCACAAACAGACAGATCAAAAATGACATTACAGCAGCATTAATAAATTAATAGTTATTTGTTGCATGGTCTTTTTTATTTGACGTCTATCCCTCACAGCAACCGGCCCTAGGGGCTTTGATACCGCTGGAGAAATGGCACGTGACACTAAAACACATTAGCCTATGTTATCCGCAATGTTATGTTTTATTATTTACCAAAATTAACACAATATGTTACATAAAACAAATCACTAAAAACAATGGGACTAAATAGAAAGTCAACATAAAAAATGTGCGGTGTTGTTGAGAGTTGTAGCTGTACCCGTGGGATGTGACGCTCTTTTCCAAGCATCTGTTTCCATGACATCGAGAATCAGCTTCCGCACTGCTGCTCCATTGCGAACCTGCGCTGGATAGTGGAGTAATGCTGGGATAAAGATCTGCTATTGTGGCAGTGATGCTGAGATGAAGGTGTGATTATGATATTGCCAGAGAGATGTTGTGTATGCCTGCGAGAGGGAGTGTCGGCAGAGCAGACAGAGAAAAGCGGGGCGGAGGGAGACACGTGACGTCTCTGCGATGTTGCAGAAACACACCACACCACATCATCAGATCCCTTGATGCAAGGGGAAAGGTTTTTTTTTGTGTGTTTTTAAAAATTATTATATTATTTAAATATTATTTTGTGTAAAATACGTTATTGTATTAGCTTTAATAATTATAACTACTTACTATAGTAGACAATATAATAATTAGGCTACTGTATTAATATTAAGCCGACGTGGTCACAGAAATAACAACAACATTATATTATTGTATTATTTAAAAAAATACGTAATTATTTTATCATTATTAATTACAATGACTACACTCAACACACGTGATTAGAGAAAACAGCAACAACAACAATAACCATCACCATTATACACAATTTTCTTTGAAAAACACCTTAAAAATTCTCCAACAATTGCACATTATACCAAACAAAGACTTTTATAAAGGGACGTTTATCATTCTTGAACCGCTCGGAACAGAAAGCTAAAAAGGGGCGGGGTTTAGCAGCTGGCTGAAATAATATCACACTCTCTCGACATTTTAACGCTGCGTTTTTAATTCACTGTAGCACTACATATCTTACTGTAAGCATTTAAACAATAGCATAAAGTACGAGAAAACCTTCTGAGATAAGAATTTGTTGCTATTGCCGTCCAGAAAAACCTTCTTCTGAGAGACCTCGATCCCTCTGACGTGTGGGAAATCGAAACTAACTGCTGCTGCCATATGGATGGATACAATACTGTTGTCTGTAAGAATGAAATATATGTTATGCTATCTCGTAATTTGGACTTATATCTCGCAGCTGTTAAAGTTTGTTGAAGTTGAATGCCCAATTCTGACTATTTATCAGACACTGTTTGACTATTCTTCCGTGTTCATTGTTATATGTTTGGCCTATCGCCTAAGGTTCCGTGTTCAAGGTTATATAAATCAGTAGCTCGTACAACATAGCAGTTCAATTTTAGATTTAAGCTATAGCTTACAAAATAATAAATCACATGCAGTAAAGCTACACCTATAGGTCTAACCTGTTGTCTAATATTCATATTGTTGGCATTTTGGACACAATGCATGTAGTGACTAATAAGCTAACCATGCTTTTCAGCATAGGCTGAATAAACCTGTTAATGTCAGGTTTCATTTGTCTCCATAATCACTGTCTGTACCAAACAAACCCTGAACAGAAATAGAATCTGAAAGCTCCAAGAAGCACACATCTATCCTCCCTGTTAAAATGGATGAGCCACCTTGTTTACCGAGGTAAGTATTATCAAGAACCATTGAAAGCATTTGTATTTTCTGTAGTTAATCAATGCCTGTTATAGCCTACTACTGTATATAGAACTGTTTTCTTTGGTTAGACTGTTTAATTTTTAGTTTGATTATCTAATTTCAAAATGTCTTTAGTCTTGATAGATAATATGCTGCTGTTTTATTTTTAATGGATTAATATGTAATTAATATGCTCGCAAGAGTCGCAACACAATTGACTTTTTGACATTCTGTATTTTATTCTGATATAGTGATTCCTGCTCAGGAGAGCCCCGTGTGGACTGTAATAAAAGTGCTCCATGTCTTGTGGACACCAGAGTTGAGGGGAAAACTGGGAAGAATAAAAAGCATAAAAAGAGACGCAGTGCTGCATGCCAAAGGAAAACAGGTGGTGGTTATACTCCGGTCACTGTTGAAGAGCTTTCGCCACCCTCACACCCGCCCGAGCACCACGAAAAAAGGTCTGCAGGATCAAAGCAAGAAAAGAATACTCGCAAAACTAAAAATCATTCTATTTCACATGAAACTTCTCCTGCACTCTCCTCTCATCGACAAAAAGCCCAAAGTGCACAGAAAACATCATCTCTGTCTACCTGTGACCAGTCAACTCAGACGGAGTCACCCCAACTCCAATCTCTCCAAACGCAGTCAACACAAACCTCTCCGACCCAGGGTGAACACACACCGTCAACAGAATCCAAGTCCACCCAGACAAAACAGTCTAGTTTTCCGTTAAAACAGGCATACTGGGGGAAATCATTCACAGATCAGTCAGCTGATCAGCAGAAACCCCAACTCAGCTCCAGAAACAGCTATCTGACAGTCATATCCTGGAATATAGACGGTCTGGATCTGGATAATGTCTTTGACCGGCTCAAAGGTCTGCTGTCACTCTTAGGAAAGTAAGTGTTACTCACAATTATAATTTTTAAAAAATATTTTCAGTATCAAAGGGATAGTTCACTTTGAAATTAATTTTTGATCTGTTGTAGCTTACCTCAAGGGCATCCAAGATGTAGGTGTCTTTGTTTCCACAGTATTTTCAATTTTGATATTTTTAGGTCAAACCGTTCTTGTCTGTCATTCATATAATGGAGGTATATGGTCACCACCTCAAAGAGCATGCACAGAGAAGTCCAAATTAAACATGATTTAATGACTCGTAAATGTAAGTACACATTGATGGCCTAAGACACGAAACAAGCGGTTTGTGTGAGAAAACGAACAGTATTTAAATCGTTTTTACCTCTTGTAACCACAGTCACGTCCAAGTACCCTGAGGGCGAGGGTGCTTCTGTCTAAGCTTGTTGCACTGGGACACGTTGCATTGATACACATTGATAACCGCTCGTTTCGTGTCTTAGGCCATCAATGTGTACTTACATTTACGAGTCACTAAATCATGCTCTTTGAGGTGGTGACCATATACCTCCATTATATGACTGACAGACAAGAACGGTTTGACCTAAAAATATCAAAATTGAAAATACTGTGGAAAAAAAGACACCAACATCTTGGATGCCCTTGAGGTAAGCTAAAACATATCAAAAATTAATTTCAAAGTTGACTATCCCTTTAAACTGAAAAAGCATTTTTAACATTAATCGCATTGCACACATCACATATACCATTTAGCACTCTCAGTTAACTAAAACAGTTTCGAATGTATTACAAAACCACTTACAAAAAGACTTGAATGCTTTGATCACGATATGATTTTAATGCAGGTACCGTGCAGATGTTGTACTGTTACAAGAGCTGATTCCTCCTACTTTTGAGATTTTACAGAACACTATGACAGATTATCAGTTCCTGCAAGGTATGTTAATGGTTGCATACAAGCTCAAAAAATAAATACTATTTCTGGTATGAATATTAGATGATTTTATGTTTCAGCCAGTGAAGTGGGCTATTTCACTGCCATTTTGCTCAGAAAGGAAAGAGTACAATTGCTCCAGAGCAACATTGTGAAGTACCCAACCACAGAGATGGGCAGGAACCTGCTAGTTGCAAATGTAGGTCCAATTTTTGCTAGCCGTTGGATAGTGATTGTTTTGATATGCCTGATGCCATTGACCATATTAATAATGATAAAAGTCATAATGTAAATGTAGACCATTCAAAACATTCAGCGTCCCGTTTTGTGTTTGCATGTTTGTTTAGGTGAGCTTTTTAGGCCATCCACTGTGCATTATGACATCTCATCTGGAGAGCTGCAAGACAGGTTCTCAAGAACGCCTGAATCAGCTGCGGAGAGTCTGGAAATGGATGAAAGAGGCTCCAGGGGACCATTCAGTTATATTTGGAGGAGATACTAACCTCAGGGATTGGGAGGTTGTATGTGATACAAACATCTGTTTGCTCTAAATCACAAACCCACATTTTACTCTGTCAAAATGTGACAAGTGAATTTCTTCAATGACAGGTGACGAAGCTCAATGGGCTGCCGGACAGTATCTCTGATGTTTGGGAGATGCTAGGGAAATCAGAGGAAAGCAGATACACCTGGGACACATCCATTAATGATAACAAAGAAATCCCTAATTCTATACGCTTGCGATTTGATCGAATTTTCCTCAGATCAGCCACAGAAGGTGCCCAGCTACGGCCAGAAAGCATGACCATGATTGGTCTGAGGAAGCTGAAGTGTGACTATTTCATCAGCGATCACTGGGGCATTCTTTGTACTTTCACATTTGAGGCATCAGAAGAGTAGGGTGTTACTGACTGATATTCTTTTTTTTTTATGGCCTGCGCATGATTACAAAACTAAATGGGTCATAAACTTGACAATCATAAACTTCTGGTAGATTAACTTATACACCAACTATACCTATAAGGGGTACCAAGGCTAGTAACTTACTCACACTTTTTAATTCAGTAAATATTTCTCAGTTAGTATATAACCACATGCTCAGCTACAAAAAAAAAAAAAAAAAAAAAAGCCTCCACAAAAATTTCCAGTTATTGCACAGGAAAAAATATAGCTATAATATAGTTCATTGAAGCCTATTATTGGGTTTTAAACAAATTTTAAACCACAAAACAGTGATGAAACAAAATCAAACAATTGTTGGACAACAAATATTTTAAATAAAAATGTTAAATATTATATTGTGAAACATTAAAAAACATGGCAACTTCATCCTGACGTCCTACAAACATAGTTTCCCCCCTTGTTTTTCCACTAGAGGGAGCTCAAAGGACAGCGTATGTTTCATTGTGAGAACATCAACCACACAAAGATCAAAAAAGCAGTATTTATTAATTTTGTTCATTTATTTTAATTCATTATATTCTGGGTTTGGAACAGAGTAAGTAATGTATATTAATTCTTCTAATGGTTTTGTGTTTATGTTTTATAGATTCCATTTAAGATTGCAGAACTAATTTTTAGTTCATTATAATTAACCATCATTGACACATTTGAATAGGAAGCACTAAGAAGTACAAAAAACGGTGTATGCGTTTTGATTTAATACGGATATTCTGAAAGTCTGGAGTAAATCTTTTGGATGCCCATGAATAATTATATTTAAATGGATTGATAGGAAAATATTCTTTTGGTGAGGAACTGGCAAACATGGCCTTGTTTTCACTTGGATAAATGATTTACAGAACATTCTCTCTCAGACTAAACAGAATTGAAATGTGCACAGCAAGAACTATTTTTTGTCACTGGCATGGTGTCAGGAATTGGATTAACAAAGAGCCATTTACCAGGACAGTCCTCATCGAG